GAATAGTGAATGTTCAATGAAGAAATTCCTTGAAATTTCAGTGGAACTGTCACTTGATAAAAATTTCCAACAAGTACCGGAAACTTCAGCCAAAATGTTCAACAATAAAAAAAAAATCTCAGAGATCCTCACCGCGTTCACAAGTGGCGTGAATTGAATACTAGATCATCCCAGGGTGCGTCTAGAGATATACCTGTCTATTATTCATCCCATCTCCTCATGCTAATGCGCCAAAAAAATAACTCATTCAGATGCAAAGTTGCGAGGACGGGGCGCTATTTATTCATTCATCTGTTTGTTTTCTCTATTTATCTCGGGTATTTATCCTCTACTCGTAAAATTGATAATAACTAGTGGTGAAATAGGAGGGACTGAATGGGTCAGCGACAAACATTACGGTTCATTATTCAATCGTAAAGTTCGGTCTTGGACTTGGCGGCTCAGGCCTTTGAGCATCCGCCGACTGTTGGTGCTGCATGTGGGCGCGACTGCGCGTGACGCACCACGTGGAAATAGGTACATTGAACGTGTTTCATTGACTCCGTCATATACGAGCGCAAAAGGGGTACATGCACTCCGGCAACTATTTCCCCGGCTTCATGCATGAGGGGGTTTAGTTTTTCTCCCCTTGTTTTTTTGTCTTTTGCGGATTATATGGACACCATGAGAAACATTCGTTTGCGGGTGTTGGCGGTCTCCCATGCGTGAATTTATTGAGAGTCTTTGCGATTCAAAAATACGGCTTGATGAAGAGCAACAACGGTCATTGATCGCTTGGAATTTTGGAGAATAGTGAGAATGCCTTGTGGTGGAGAAATTTTTTACTGTTGAAATTTTTTGGCTGAAATTTCAGGGACACTTTTTGGAAATTTTTATCGAATTTAATTACCACTGAAATTTCAATGAATTTCGGCGGAAATCGAAGAGAACTGCAAATTTCAGTTCCATTTTTCCCTGAAAATGAATAGAAAATCAAAAAATTCCGGTAAATTTATTCTTGAATTTTCAGGACAGTGACACGGAATGCGATTTAGGGGTGAAAAAATGGTGAAATTTCAGATTTCACTGAAAATTCAATGTAATTTGGCACTGAATATTCATATTAGATTGGAAATCCACATAAATTAAGAAATTCTCGTCTTTATGCTGCTTAAAATTCTGGAATTTTACTGAATTTTCAGTGAAATCTGAAATTTCATAATTGTTTTCCCTTAAATCACATTTAGTGTCACTGTCCTGAAAGTTAGTAGTGAACTGTCCATGAAATTTCATTTTTTCTAACAGTGCCCTTGCTGCAATTCCAAGGAATTTCATCGCTGGAAAAAATAGACAATGCCCGTTCTATTTCGCTCATTTTTTCTGCCTGCTTAAAAATTCATAATTGTACGGAAAAATATATGAAAACTGTACATTTAAGTTCAATTATTCCATGGAATTCATAGAAATCAGGAAAATTCAGGCAAACATATTCTTCAATTTTCAATTCATTGATAATTTAACGTATTTTTCTTTCAATTTTTTTATTTCATAAAAATTAAATAGCCGGAAGCCACTTAATGAATCAAATGTAATTTCACGAAACGTTTGACGATGAATTAGACAATTATCTTATGAGGGAAAACACTCATAGCGAATATTTACATTGCACAGAGTGTCTCTACTCAATTAATCAATTTCCTTACATTTAAATAGGGGAGTAACAACAGTCATTGATGGTGAAAATGCGGTGAAAAATGAGACATTTTGAATGGGTTTGTGATACTGTTGAAATTTTGTGGCTGAAATTTCCAAAACACTTTCTGAAAATTTCGTTCGAGTGACAGTTCCACTGCAATTCCCAGAAATTTTGTCGTTGAAAATTGGCAATTTGAAGAGAAAATCAATAAAACCTCCATTTGCAAAATTAGGCAATTATACTTTTCAATTGTCAATTAATTATTCATTTAACTAGTGATAATATAACTTAGAATTCGGATATAGACTCACAGTTTCATAATGACAAGGCGTTAGTAAATTGTCAAACACCTAAAATGCATGCGCCTCGAATTGGCAATAAAAATAATTACCAAATGTGACAAAATGTTACGACCGATAAATTCCTAAACACCAGTTTCCACCTAGCCAGTTGATTGAAACAGCATGAGAAAGTATGACCGAAATAAAATTCGCCATGAAAAAAATTACCATCACATGACGGTCATTTTTTTTCTGACCCTCGTGACCCTTTCGACTGATCTTCAAACGTGACGTAACCCCTCACCCCTGCCCTGAGTCACTCACTAGCGAAATTCCTAGTTAGTTCCTTAATTATTAAAATGAGGCTTCTCAGCACGTGCTGAGTGTAAACTCCGCATTCATTTGGTGTTATGCGACAACCGATAAATTGCCCTAACGGTAGACCACCTTAGATTTCAACGCCTCCCAGCTGGAGGCAGTTGGTGTCCCATCAAGCCACTTCGCGGTGAACTGATTGCCAATGTCATTTCCGGTGAGCGTTCGCTCCTTTTTTGTGATGTACGTCTATTCCTTTTATTTCTCCCTCACGATGATTGCCTCGATAATTACTCATCCGGATGTTTTTTATATTCACCACCACGAAGAAACGAAAGATACCGCGGATTTGAAATTGACTCTGTGATTTTTGAGTCGTTGAATTCGGTGCAGTTACGGCATTCATTCACGTAACAGTTTGTTCACCCGATGATGAGGCCTTTGTTGATGATTTTACCATCTCCTCGAGGGTGATTTATACACCGTAAATATTTCGCTTAATTCTCGTGATGAATTTTATGTCATTTCACACTTTTGCTGGATGACACTTTATTCTGGACAATCACAGGGTTTTGTAACGGAATACGTCATTTGCGTGCTGTGCGTTTCGAATTCTGCTTTGTCGTGAGTACCGCTAGACCGGTGACGCCAATTTTACGAACAATTCTTTGTTGCGTAAGTCTATAAGCTCCAATGGTTCTGTATCATTACAAAAATCCATTTTGAACTGTTGATTTATTCCCTCGGTTACACTTCACCGAACCTCCACTAGTTTTCTCGTTATTCCTCTTCCAGTACATGAATAAATATCGGATAAATATGCTGTTGACCTTGGTTTCCATCTGTGGATCTTCGGTACCGTTAGGGTGGATTTTTATATATTCTTCAAAATTTAACAGTCATTTAGTTCTCTCGTTTATGATTTTATCAGCGTATGCACATTATAAATGAAGACATTTCTGCGCGGAGACAAAAGTTATAGAAAAATTATGGAACAAGTCAAGTAGTCGTGGAGCGAACTCCATTTTCAGTATATTTTTACCATTTTTAGTATATTTTGAATATTCTAGAAATTAACTGATTTGTCAATGAAGAAATATACAGCAATTTCATGTAACTTTGTCGTTGTTAAAAATTTTAAGCTTTTCACTTGAAATTTGAGGAGTAATTTTCTAACAGTGTAACGGATGTACATTTGATGAGATCGAATTGCCCCTAGCTTCCTAGCAAATCCATTTATAAACAATAAATTTGTTGCAAATTTATTTGTAACAGATCAAATTTTTTTTTGTTAATTTGTTAACAATAAATTTGTTATCCTTTCTATCTGTGTGCAAGAGAATAATGTTTGCATCCATACAAGTGTTTTTTTCCCGAGCGAATCATAAAAGATCCTCCACAAACAAGTATTTTTTTATTGAATTACATTTCGCTCCACAATTACCTTCCATACACTGAAATTTGTCACTATTTTCTAGGTAATTTAAATTCCACATTTCTCTCCGTGTATGGGAATTGATAAGGAGGCGTTTCAACCGCAAAGCGGTTTTGTATTATTTACAGAATAGAAACTGCTGATTAACTGCGACGAGCGAAATAAAATGTAATTAAATGAACATTATGTTTACCTCAATTGTGATTACTCCTTATATTATAATCAATACCTTTGGGGATCGACGGCGGTGGCTGTGTTACACGGAGAGAAATATTCAGTAAAAATTACGGAACAATTCACGTAATCCGCAAGAGGGAATCGTTTTCCGCCAATTTTTATAGGAATGGAAGAGAAGAAATCTGAAACGTTCAGTGTATTTTCAGGTTCATCACCGAATAAAGTACGAAATTGTCACGTAATTTATCCCGAATAAGTAAAATCTTACAGAAACTTGCCGACTTATTGTGCCTCCAAAATCAAAAATTCTTGAGCGTTCAACAATTTTTATGAAGCTGGTGAGATATTTCTACGTTCCGTTCCGTAAAATTTCTCAATCGTTGGGGAAAAATTACGGAACGACTTGTTGTCCCCACAGCGATGAGTCATCAGACGGGTGATTAATTTTTACGGAACAAATCGTAGAATTTCCGTGGCGATTCGTACAATTTCAGTTCCGACTCACACTTTTTATTGAATTTTACTTCGCTCGCGGATTACGTTTCGAAACGTAATTTTTACGTTTTTTTTCTGGTAATGTTTATTGAATTTTTCTCTCCGTGTAGAGTGTGGGATTGGCATGCGGGAGACCCGGGTTCGATTCCCGGCTGGGGGGGGCAAAATTTGTGACACTCGAAATCTCACGGTTTCATTGTCGAGCGGGAGTTTCGCAAGAGACGACTGTACCTGGGTAGGTTTTTCCCTCAAATGAGGTTTTCCCTTATCCTTCGGCGAATGCGGTACAGGGGGTTGGGGGGTCGGAAGGGAACAAATCGTAAAGACCCGAAAGGGTATACGAGAAGAAAACATTTTTTTCAACACCTTTGGGTGTCCCGTTAAACCTCACGATTTTTGCGCTTCCACTGCACACGAATTACCTCTTCTGTAAACAGTCCGACCGGTAATAAACGCAGTGCGAACATTTTTCTGGGTCAGGTGTTTTCGTACTCCTTCCATTCCGTTAGCCGAATTCTACAGGTGCACACACGCGTTCCCGTTTTACTGGAATCCTCGCGAAATGTGAATGAACGCCAAAATATTTCGTTGTTAAACTAACGCAAGTTTTTTTTAATTTCAGAATGATTATTATCTGCCGGGCAGACCGGCGTGGTCGAGGGTGCCGCCTCATTCGTCCAAGAAGAGTCACAGAAATGCTAGGTGGAAAATGGATAGTGCACTGCTTATTGTTGCAGCAATTATTGTTCTTTTTGCAGTATTGGCTATTGCGGGACTCGCACTGTGGCTGGGAGGTACGTTTGATAACGAAGATTGAAAGTGTCTTCGATTGAAATTCTGTGGAATGGTTTTTTCGGCCAATTTATTCGTCGCGATGAATAAATAAAAGGATGGAAATGAAAAGATGAAAATAAAGAGGAGAATGAGAAAATGTAATGAATGATGTTTTTTTGCACATATTTTCACCCTGAAATTTTCTCACAGAGAAAAGAATTTTTTGGATTCCAGTGAAATTTATCTGGGAATCAGGGAAAAAATTCTCGTTCTCAGTTATTTTTACTGAAATCTAGTACCCATGATACTTAAATCAGGGGACTTTGATTCTGGAATCTAGTACTTCGTGTTCTTAAAATAAGAACCGTTGAGTACTGCAATTAAGAACCTTGGGGTTCTTGAAAAAACTTTAAGGTTCTTAAATTGACATCCTTCTCTCCTCAAGTTATCTTCATTGATTAGGGCGTGACATCACATTCAGAAAACCCCCTCGAATTACAGAACATCCTCCCCTTCTCAATCGTGTGAGGCCATATTTAAATAACCTCAACTGTTCTTATTCCGTTCTTGATTCCAGTGCCAGTTTTTCATTGGAAATATTCTAATTTTTCCCCGACATTGATTCAAATTTTCAAAGTTGATTTAAAATTTGAATTGTTTATATTATTTATTCATAGGAAAATAATGTCAAATTAAATGTAATTTTGCGCCGAAAGCAATGCCATTCACATCATGACATTTATACATGAATTTTTTTTTAATTTTCTCACGCAATTCAATTACATAATAACAATCCGATAAAATGTTTAGCCTCCAATTCTCTATTTCTGTCATTTATTCTATTCATTCTATCAAAAGACATGGAAAGGAATCGAATTTATGAGTATTCTTTCATTATTCGAAAAAAATCGCTTTTAAAATTTTCAGGAATACATGGAGAAATTTTCATATTACCCGAATGAGGTTTCGAATGACTTTTGTTTTGTGTGTTTGTTTTGATCCCAAAAAATACTTTTTATTGATCTTTAACATAATTCCTTTTCATTCAATGTTGTAACATTCGAATTAAGGAAAAAAATATATAATAAAAATAAGAATGGATAAAATTAAATTAATCTGCTTGTTAAGATGGAAATGGAAATAAAATAAAATAGCATAGTATAAACTAACTAGCGATGGGCGCGAAGCGACACTAATTTCCCGTTCAAACAAAAAAAATGAAAGATAAAGAATGAAACAATAGTAGAAAATTGAGCCATCACTCACACATTCAACCACTGTTAGACTATAATACAGACTTACTAATCTAATGAATAAAAGAGTACATAATCCTTATGTCAAACTGATACCATCTTCCTTTAATTCCCCAGGCATGCGATCGGACCCAAAAAATTGTAAGTACACTCTTTAATGTGTTATTCCAACGTAAGAACAACTTTCCTCATTCTCAGAAAAAAAAATCCTTCCAGCTATGCTCGTGTTTTCCTGCAGTCTCCGAGTGGCTCGGGGCGAAAAGTATAATCCCATGCTCAAGCTGAATACAAGTGGTGTCTTTCGCGAAAAGGAACGCAAGTACAAAACCATTGTGAGTATCACGATCGTATTTGTTGTGTACACAATGTTCAATCGTAAAAAATAGAGTAAACTAAAGGGGGAATAAATAAATATTTTCCTCATGAAGACCTAATGTTGGGGATTCTCGTACGGTGGAACGAGTTCCATGATGATGTCGAGTCATGAAAAAAAAGAGGGTAAAAAATTGATTTTTGCCTTTTTCGCTTTTTAGTTCGAATCCCTGTTCAGAAGGAGCGTCCTTGGGCCCTCTTACAAGCACACGTTCATAGACAGATTCGAGAATGGCACGCTCAAGGTTTTCTTCAGGTTATACCTGGATAGGAGGAAGATACCACGTATTATCAGCAATGTTGAGGACACCATACAAGATATTATAGCTAAAGAAACTTACTCGGAGTCCTCTGTTTTCCAGGATATGGAGCTCGATCTGACTAGCCTAACAGTTCGCAGTAAGTTATACCGATAATCGTAGGTCATGCCCAGATTGACAAAAAAAAACCCTTCTTATTGGAAAATTTTACTTTTTAAAATTTATGATTCTTATTATAAAAAAAATGACCAACAAATTTAATTAAATTATAAATAAAAAATGAATTGATCTATTTTTTAAATTAATTTTTAATAACGTAATAATTGCACTTGTAACAAACAATTACAATAATAATGTTAATGTACGTCAATAATTATGTAATTAAAATTGATTTATTAATTGAAAAATAATAATTAATTTAAAAAATTTATTAATTAAAATCAATTTAATTTAATTATCCATTATTAAATTAAATTTCTACGAATTAAATTAAATTTGATTTTACTTTACACCCAAGTGATAAAAAAAATTGTTCCTCAGGGCTCAACACGGAGGCTTCCGAGCGAGTGCAGAAGCCCTCAGTCTCCCAGCAGCGAAACACAATGATAACGAAAAACGGTGTGATGCGTCCCCCGAATCGCACAAACCTCCTGACAAGTCCCCGAACGAAGCCAAAACCTTCCCGAATCGAGCCAAACGAGGAGAGCATCGATCTCAGTAACATTCCAACGATTCAGGGCACATACCAGGCAACCAAAGTTAACACAACGACCCGCGGCACCCAGAAAACCGAAACAAAGATAGCATCAGGTGCGATAAGCATAAAATCGGAGTCCTCCCCGACCCCCAGCCCTGATGCCCCCCAGCAATCTAAAAAAACCGATGCACCTGCAGCCAACAGACCCCACTCACCCCCTAATATCGAGAAGATTGATGAGATCGAAGTGACTGGCGCAACAGTGACGCTGAGAATTCCAGCGTCGACGAGTCCATCGGCTGTCACAATTCCAAAGACATCGACAACAGAAGCTAATGACCCGTTCAAGGTCTTCTCCAAGCCGGAGTTTGAGGAGTCCCCTTGGAGGCCGATAATACCGACATATCTGAATACAGACATGAAACTTCCATCGCAAATGCCCCAAATCCCCCCGGAATTACGAATAAACCAGAACGCACAAGTGGTCGCGGAGACGGATCACCGCATCCAATACGGAATCGTCAATGTGAATCCCCCAAATTTATCGAACATCGAGGGTATTTCCCTGATTACTGGGGCGCCATCCGGGGACATAGAGTTGAGCCTCCCTTCGGTGAGTCTGAGTCCCCTAGACAGCGACTTCGACTTCCCCCACGATCGAATCGTCCCCGAGGAGATGGTCAACTTTCGACCGAATGGTATGAGACAGAAGTTTCTTTTGCATCATGAATTTATTCAATTTGTTTGATTTTATTCTACATCTGTCTGAGGAGAACGCCGTAGTATCACAGAACTAATTCCTTCCGCCAAATACATCATTTTTTTCTTCAACAACAACTTCATATAGTACTAAAAATTCATTGTTTTTAATAATCGATTTTCATTGGAACCCGCCGTTTTGCTTCAACCTCACGGAGAGAAATATTCAATAAAAATTACGTATCTTTTCTGTAATTCCGGAGCGAAATGTAGTTGTAGGAAATTTTACGGAACTGTCACGGACTTTTTCCAAAGCGTTCCGTAAATTTTATCTGAATCTCCTGTGAAAAATTCCGATACCGTCACTTAAATTTTCTGAGTCAATTCCGTAATCGGTGAGCGAATTGTGAGTTCTGTAATTTTTACTGAACATTTCTCTCCGTGCTGCCATTTTTTGTTCATACAATTTAGATTACGCATGATTATAATGTTCAATTATCAGTCCTACTCTATAGACGCGAAAAATTGATGAAATTCAAAATTCATTTCTTCATGATCTATTGCGAATAAAGTAAAACGGATGCTTAATTTTATCCTTTGGGGTGTAACGAACATTTAAAAAAAAGCTAAAATCGTATGAAAACTACGGCGTAAGGAGCATTTTGAAGGTAAAAATAGGAAAAAACAAAGTTTTTCGTGTTTATACGGGGCAAAATTGATCGGGTCCGCGATTTTCCCTAGTTATTTCCATATTCCGTCATATATCACAAATATATGTTCAATGGTTCTCAAGGCCAGCGAAGATTTTTAAATTCTACCGACGCACGTATGAGAAAATCGTATAGAAATTTTCTATACGGATTGCGTATAGAATTCCTATAGGATTTTCGTATCTGATATTCGGATTTTTCTATATGGATATTTTTTATACAAATTATTTCCATACGATTTCTATAGATTTGACCCTATACGACCCACTGTTACATATATAGAAACATTTCGTATGGAGTTGCGACATTTCTCTCCGTTTTTCTCTGGAGCATTTAGACATCTTTCGTATGAAAACAAAAATTTATGCAAAAATTTATGTATAGAAATAATTCGTATAGAAATATCTGAACATCATATACGGAAATCCTGTAGAATTTCTATACGCAATCCATATATAAAATTTCTATACGATTTTTTCATACATGCGTATCCCCTATATTGAAGAATCGGAAGATTGATGGCCATCCTTGCTCAAAAATGATCGTTTTTTACAGGTAAATTCAAGAACAAGATTCCAGGGGTTGACGATATCGAGATGAGGCCTGATCTGGAAATCTCGGGCCATTTACCCGAGGAGACGTTTGATCTCCACTTGGGAACGGCTTCCATCCCCTCGAGACCCCCAAGCGTCCCCTCGGTCTTCCCTCCCACGAGTCCCCCAGTTGTCCCCGAAATCATAAAAACAGGCTTCCAACCTCAGAGAATAAATCCCGGCCTCCCGCCAACCCAGAAAACCGACGCCACACCGACATCACTATTCCCCGGCCAACCCGGACCTATAAAAATCTCGGGTGTTGGGGTAGCCGAGCCAGTGTTGGACCTGGAGATCGATCTAGAGTCGAGAAATAAATTCTCGAGCATTCTATCCGCCGATCCGACCGACGATAAAACCATGACAGATCGAAAAGTTGATCAACAACTCGTCCCCCCGGTTTATACCAGTTACAGAACCCCAGATTTGAATGGGGGCGCTAAGCCCAGTCTTATCGACAATCCAGGGACTCTAAAGCCGTTTAAGCACACAATCCCTGTTGATAAAATTAACCCGGGAATCGATGATTCAACGACTCTAGAGTCTAAACCCAAAGCCGAGAATGTAACGACAGACGAACCAAAAACGGAGAAACCAACAGATCTTCCTTCCATACAAGAAATCCCCGCGAGTTTTCCTGAAACGCCTGAGCCCTCAACAATACCTCCCCCAACGTCAGAGGAAAGCGAGAAAAACGACGAAATTATCGAGTCAACGACAGTAAGAATAATTTCCACAACTCTTCCTGAACTAGAGACAATCGACGAGAAGACAGTTCCCAAGCCCCAAATCCCCTCGTCGCCAGACGATTTCCCCCGAAACTCTACGTTCATCGCAGTAGATACTGTCGAATACACCCCAAAAAACCCTGAAATGCCGGAGTCCTCGATCTGGACGGCAACCAACGACACATCCCCAGAGCCCAGTCAAAAGACCTACAACGACACCCTGAACGCAAACATAGTAAAGAACATTGTGACCTTGGCTCCAGCGAAAAGCAACACAGGAGTGGGTCGTCCAATCCGCCCGCGGCCGAAAATCGACAAAGAGAAGGTGACACGAGTCCTGGAGAAATCCAAACCCTCCCAGAACGTCAGTCTGACGGACGAGGAGCTACTGAAGAAATTGTTCGGCCTGCAGGAGCTCGTCAGAAAGTCCTCGCAGGATCGAGACACCTCGGTCGACGGAAACCGCGCGATCGAGAGCGTCGTGGAGGTGGTGACTTCGGTCAGCACTAGAGTCTCCACCAAAGTTCGAACGGACAAGGTTGTCCTGAGTTTCGACGTCACAAACTCGACGTCAGCCCCAGTTACAAGTGATCCGCCTAGTGGGGATGAGGATGGATCGAGCATCGAGGAGAATCGATCCTTCCAGGGGATTGCAAGCGGGGATTTGTCGGACTCGAAGCTGTTCGTTTGGACGAATGAGAAGGCTGAGGGCTCTAAGCCCCTGCAGCCAGTCGATCGACGCATCTCCGCTACTGAGGAGAAAGAAGCCCTTCTGGAACAATTGAAACAGTTCGCGGAAGTCAGGGCTGACGATGACGCGGGTTCCAAGAAGAGGAACACAACGAGCTCAGGGGGATTGACGGGACCCCCGAGTCCCGAGGAGATCGACAGTTCGTCTTTTTCTGGGAACTTTGACGAGCTGAAGAAGCTGGCAGCTGTTGTCACCGGAAACAAGACTGTCAGACCTGTGGGCTTGACGAGACCCACGATACTCAGCAGGGATGGAGTCGAGGTGCTGACGAAGGTTCTTCACAAAGTTGCAGACAAGTCAGACAGGCTTACCCTCACCACTGAGAGAATTGACACGAAGGAGACCGAATGCAAGGGCTTTCTCTGCAACGATGGCAAGTGTCTACCGTCAGCTGGACGCTGCAATATGCTGGGAGAGTGCTCGAACTCGGAGGACGAGGCCAATTGCACTTGTGCAGACTTTCTCAGGGCGCAGCAACGCGAGCAGAAGATCTGCGACGGTGTCCCAGACTGCTGGGATTACTCGGATGAAACTCACTGCGACTGGTGCACGGATGGACAGTTCGTCTGTGGTAACAGCAGATTCTGCGTCGATCAGACTAAGGTATGCGATGGCTATCGGGATTGTCCGGAGGGTGAGGACGAGAAGAAATGCGCAGCGCTGATTGAGGATGAGGGGGGCGAAGGGGGAGGAGAGGTGGAAAAAAGAGGGGAATCAGTGGATGGGATTAACGAGGGGAAGAATGGGAATGAGAGAGTGGTATCGAAACCCTTAATCAGGGAGGGAATGGGATACATGGAGGACATGAAACATTCAGACGATCAATTAGCATCGGAGACAGCTGCTTTGGAGACGACAACCTTGAGAATTGTCGCGGCTGAAATGATCAGTAAGGAGAAGAAAAGTTATGATGAATTTGGGGGGAAGGGTCCGAAGGTCTTCGGGAGGGAAGTCACTTCGAATTCTAAAAATCATTTGAGTGATTCCCAGAAGTCGCCGTTTCACGTGACCAGTGGGATTGGAATTATGATGGGGAAGCCGGATTTGAGGCAGGAGATCAATGGGTACAGGGATCAGGGATTCCTCAGCATCAGGAGGAATGGAAAGTGGGGGAAATTGTGCTTGAATGGGACTGATAGTTTATTGGAGGATAGGAGGACCTCGTGGACTGTTGAAGATCTGGGGAGGGCTTTCTGCAAAGCGATCACTTATCAGGATTATGAGAGAGTGGAGAAAATAAGGGAGGAGAGGGATGATGGCAGAACGTACTACAGTCTGTTTTTGAATGACAGGAGCTCTGATAAAGCCAGTCTCACGTTCAGGGCTTCGGATTGCCCTAGTAGAGAAGTTTTGAGGGTCAAATGCAAGAATTTGGAGTGCGGGATTAGAACGCAGACGATGTCGCAAGCTAGGTGAGTTGATGGTTTTCAGTGGTGAAGTGGTGGGATGGAAAAAATAGAATTTTCTGTACAGCTTCTTACGATTACTCGTCTGAGAATTGGTATTGCGTACTCTCCATAATCCGAAACTAAAAATCATTGCGAAAAATCTTGTCCCGGGCTGTTGCGGTGGTCCGTTTCCGCAGACGCGACGCAGCGACTCAAGTCACCTCCGCGGGGATTCCCCGTCGTGTTATTTAGGCGCTAGCGTTGCCGAATTCACTCTACACTGCCCGGGCGCGTTTAGCGAGTTTCCGACAACGTCGCGTCATGGGGAATTTCATTTAACATGGGGAAAATACTTCATCTGTTCGAAATAATGTCTTCTTTAGGCATTTCGGGAAATATGATGAAAGAAAATATACATGTATGAAAAAAAATCATTGAAAACCCTAATGAATTCTTTATAAAATTAGATTTCGTTTGAACTTTCTATTAGTTTTTGGCCGATTCTATTGAAAAATTCTATTAAATTCTATTCAATTTTCCACATAAATCCAATAGAATTTTCTATCGAATTCGCTACGTTTTTTTCGGAAACTTTTTCGTGTCGTAAAAAAATCATGTAAATATGCGAAATAATACAGAATTCAATTCGTCACAACTGACTATTTCACTTCTGAATATCTCCAATATCTCTTTTCTGTATACCGCCAACCTAAAAGTGATGAATAATTAGACCCCTTATCAATCGTCACTCCAGAATCGTCGGGGGTGGCAGCTCAACGGCGGGAAGTTGGCCATGGCAAGTGGCACTTTACAAAGAGGGCGATTATCAGTGCGGCGGAGCTTTAATCAATGACAAATGGGTCCTCTCGGCGGCCCACTGCTTCTACCAGTGAGTTTATCATCCCATTAACCACGTCATTTATCGTCCACTTAATTAATACTAACTCTGGGTAATTAAAACAGCACGCAGAATGAGTACTGGGTGGCTAGAATCGGTGCAACTCGTAAGGGAAATTTTCCGAGTCCACATGAGCAAATTTTACCACTCGACTATGTCATTCTCCATCCGGAGTATGTTGACAATGGGTATATCAATGATGTAGCTGTCCTCAGACTCGAGAAACCGGTTACATTTAGTGATTATGTCAGGCCGATTTGTCTGCCTGATAGCGAACCCAAGAGTGGAACAAGCTGCACTGTTACTGGATGGGGACAGCTGTACGAAATTGGCAGAATATTTCGTAAGATTTTTTTTTCACGTCTATATTATTAGGGGAGGGTGGGGCAAAACGGCCCCCCTTCAATTGTCAATAACTTGTGAATGACATTGTGAAAATTCCCAGTTTCAACTTCATTTTGAAGATAATTTTTCATTCTTCAAAACGAGCTCTAACTCATCCCAATCGGATTATTGAATCGGAAAATATTGACGATTGAAGGGGGACCGTTTTGCCCCATCCTCCCCTATTAGAAGAGGTTGGGGTAAAACGGACTTTTTTTAAAATGGTAATGAGAGGTTGAAATGTTGATAAAATTCAATAATTTTTTCTTCAATACAAAGAACAATTCTTTCCCTTTGTAGCGAGCCTAAACTGAGCTCAATTGATAAATTTGTTTCTGAGTTATGAATAATTTTTAAAAAGTCTAAACTGTCCATTTTACCCCACCCTCCCCTATTTATTATTATTTTGTTTGTGCAGTTGTTATACATCGCCCTATTGAAGGGCGGGGAGGGGGAGGGGAGAGGGAATACGCAAAATGTATCGAATGGGCATAGGAATTAAGAGTTGATAACATTTAATATAGTGAAGGGAAGTATTATGATTAAAAGCTAATGTAAAGTTAACAATGCAATATGATATGTGATGACAAATCAATATGTTTGAGAGCTAGACAATAGACGCGAAAAAATTCCAGAGAGACAGCTAGCGAATTCGCTAGAAAATCCTAGTGGATTTTTATTGATTCCATTAATTTTTTGCCGGTTCTGTGCGATTTTTTTTTCAATGAAAATGGTTAAGAGGATAAGTTTTTTATAGAAAAGACATTAATAGAATTTTAGTTCCCTATGCAATTTATTCTGGTGAGATGTTTTCTATTAAAGTTTCTCGGCTCCAATTTTTTGAACTTTTTTGTTAGATTTTTTTAGTAAGGAAAAGATAGAGTTAAATAAATTTAGGGAATTTTCGGTTTCTGTTGGATATTTTCTATGAATAAACGTGCAGTGAAACTGGGGAATTATTGGAGAGAAATTGAAATTACTGTCTCGAAGTGAAAAAGGTCATTTTGTCTGATCCTTTCAATTTTTGATGATGGATTCGTAAAGATTATTTTCTCCCCCTCTGACAGCTGATACTCTTCAAGAAGTTGAATTACCACTGATTTCGACCGAGGAGTGCCGACGAAAAACTCTATTCCTCCCACTCTACAGAATAACATCTGGGATGTTGTGTGCAGGATTGAAAGACGGTGGAAGAGACGCCTGCATGGGTGACAGTGGAGGACCACTTGTTTGTCAAGGAAATGACAACAGATATACTTTGCACGGTAAATAACTCAATATCCTTTTCCCGTCAATGATTTCCACATATAACATCATCATTAACTCATTATCATCAATTATTAGATACTGCAATGAACATCATAATAAGAATGGTGAATTCTTCATTTCTTTGTAGTTGAGATTCTGCATAAAATTTCTTCATTGCTGCAAATGAAAATAGAATACGAGTATAATGAAGACTATTAAATACTCATTTTTTTATATTCCAGACAATAAATCATAGAAAGGGGAAATCCCTCACAATTTAGTTTGCATTAATAATTTTTCGAATTAAATATATGGAAGGAATTTCGTGAACCGCCGTACCCTATTAAGTGAAAAATAATTATTCCAGGTATTACGTCAAACGGCTATGGCTGCGCAAGACCAGGTAGACCCGGTGTCTACACCAAAGTCCATCACTACCTCCCCTGGATAGAGCGCACGATATCATCGAGTGATTTTCCATCCTCGATACCGATGTGCAAAGGCCACCGGTGTCCCCTAGGCGAATGCCTCCCAAAATCCCGCATTTGCAACGGTTTTCTCGAGTGCTCCGACGGCAGTGACGAACGAGACTGCAAATTTAAATAAATTCATCGTTTGTACTATGAAGAGTTATTCCTCACTGCTCATCTGAGGTAGATACCGATGGACGTCAACTGCATAAGGAAATCATGCAGTTCATGATCATTGTAAAGAGAGATATTGAACGTTCAATCGTTTGTGCAATACGTAGACATTTAACTCATAAGACTGGCAGGAACCTACGTGCCCCACTATTCAATGCAGTAGCGAAGCGTCACATCGAGAAGACACAATTGCTTTGAGAAATATGTTTTTACTGGTATAAAAAAACTCATGGCTCGAAAATTTTCAATTCAATTTTCAAACATCTCACATTCAAAAACAAAACGTTAAGCCAAGACATTTTTTACTTGACGAAAAGGTGAAGGCGATTTGTTCGTAATCAAAAAGGGAGTTCTCAAACAAATTAAACTGATTTTTGCATTAAATTATTTTAGATTTGGGGCTAAAAACTATTAAATGAATTAATTCAACTTTACTTGGTTTCAAAAATCGTTTTCTTCTCATAAATGTCGTCTTTCGAACTAGTCCAAAATGTCTTGACGAAAGTTTTTTTTTTCTTAGTGCAAAATATTTATATAACTTCTCGAAAAACATTTGTTCTTCTCAGCGCAAAACGGTTCATGTCGACTAGCTCCGAGCTGAGTTTTTCAGAAATATCTCCGAATGTACGACAGATAGTGAAATTTTCGACAAGACCTCTTTTGTAGTTCTCATTTTGCTCTACAAAAATGTCCTTAGATAAATTCCTCTCCCTTCAATTCTAAGATATTCATCGAAAATCATCCTCTGGAGGGAATTTACTAGAACCTTTTTACCGCTTCTCTGCTGAACGATCATTGAAGAGCTCTGGGTGTTCATTCATCATCACTGTTTATATTTATACCATTGATGATTATATAAGTAATTTAATAATTGCAGGAATTCTAACGTAGATAAAAGAATTAATGTATGATTATTTGTGATAACTTTTTTATGCTGTAATTCTCATGGAAATTAAGACCTGTCTCGCTGGTTTTCATCGAGGAAAATCACTGAGTCACGTGCGCATAATTTCCCCATAATTCATTTCAACTTCATGATCTTTCTCTAATTTTATTATTTTTGTATATAAAAAAATTGGTAATTGAAGAATAAATATTTGTAATAAAAGCCATTATCGTTTGATGATTTTTTCTGCACTATATTTTGCTGGCTCAATACAATTTTTCACTAGAATATTCGCATCGTTCGATTCCCTGAATTTAACCCTTTGAAGAAATCGAGTGTAAATTATTAATTCAATCTACATCGAAAATTAGATAATAAAAAAACCTATAACTGAATATTGCCCGTGAACGATACGCGATTACTTAACAATGAATGGTGCGATTTCCATCATATTCTGACAGAATCAAGAGATTTAATGAAATAACTCTCCTGCAACATCACTAACTTGATTCCTATTGAAAAATCCCTGAGCCTTTCTGCGCGTTTTTTTTCAATAGGAAATGTTTAATAGAAAAAACGAATAGAAGTTCATCTTTCTATACAAATTTTTCAATTGACATATTTTTAACTTCATGATCTTGTCCAATTTTATCATATTTTTATGGAAACAACTGGTTATTGAAGAATGAATATCTGTAACGAAAACTTTTCCCATCAGATGGTATTTTCTGTATTATATTTTGCTGGCTCAATACATTTTTCACTTAAAATTATCAATATCAGCAGAATGAGGCAGCGTGTGACTTCACCCATGTATCGAAAATTCGGTGCATAAATTCTGTACACAAATTGAGTGTTACAATTGTTATTTGATGAACATTCGGAAAATGTGACAATCACAGTATACAGTACCAGGTGCATACAATCACGTTAAAAAAAATAAACAGATTGAATTCAAACCTTGCCTGAGAATTTATTAATACGATTCATTTGATTCGTGCGAGTCACTGAAGAGCATAACATGTACATACTTCACTTATATGCCGTGTCCAAATCAATAAATATATTGGACGGCTACGTTCACATGCTCAATAATACACCATTTACAATCCTATTGAACAAGAAAATGTATTTGTGATTGACGAGATGTAAATGCACTGGGGACAGAGAAATGCTATTGGAGATGTTGATCGACATTTTATTGATTTTATTATAAAAATTTTCTTGTGTTTAATAGTCATGGACGAGGGAAAATACCGATCGAATAAATAAATGATAATTCTGTTTTACATAATTAATTCGAAAAGTGGGGGACTAGGCTGGAGTGAATAATCGATGAAGAGGAAGGGAATCGAATAACTTATTACCTATTTTTAGTATTTGATTTTTTTTTGTTCACGAAGAAAATGTTCATTCCACACTCACTTATTTCCATTTGATTTATTATACAAATTCGCATTTTTCAATCTTCTCTCTGCATGCATTACTCATAGTCAACACTTCAGCAATTCATTTCAAATAAATTATTCCTTACTACCTAAATAACGCGACAGTCTATTGTCTTCACACTGTACACGCATAAAAAAATTTAATAGAAAATCTAGCGCTATCTCTGGGAAATTCTTTTCAAGAGAATTGTATTCATTTTTGCGCCATTTCTGTAGGAGATTATGCAACGTGTCATTCTGTTGAGAGATAATTGATAGAAAAAAGTCGACAGATTGATTTGATTTTTCTCCGGAAATTCTTGCTCATAAATTTTCTAATTTATTTTTCGCTGTTTTTTTAATAATAAGATCCAAGAAAAAAATTTGGAAAATCATTCCCAAGAATTCTTGTAGAAACATTTCCAACCGAATGAGTTTAAAAAAATCGTCGACGTTGCATAATTTTTAATGTGATTGGGCAAAAAACAAAGAATTTTTCAATAGAAATCCAATAGAATTTCTCAGAGAATGCGCTAGGTTTTTGAATGAAATTTTGTCACACGTGTAATCCACTTCATAATCATTGTGCACAAAATTTCAATCGAAATACAAACAATAGCCACTTACGCAACTTGTATCATTATTTAATATAAATTATTATTGAATGTTGAGAGACAGAGACTTTGATTCAATGACATTTATCACTCAGCCACGTGTTTACGATTAAAATTAATTTATACATACTTACATACGTACATACACAGTGTACAATACATAATATAAAATTCACTCTTCGAGTTTTCACAGTGGGGGACATTTGGATGGTGAAGATTTCATAGAAAAAACTACAGTCATCGTCAAACGTTGAGTTTAAAAAATATCTTATATCTCCGTGTTGCCTTATCGTTATGATTATTATTTATTTTCCCCTTTCCTCTCGTCTTTTCAAAAAAATGACCTCCACCTCCTCGTATCTATTATCCGTGTATCACAAACTAATGCTTCTCCTCGAACTCTCTAACTGAAAATACTAAATGTCTCAACTCCAATTAATTGTAAATCAGACGAAGTTTTGAGGCACTGGGTTTCTTTATGCAAATCAGTGATAATGTCTTCCATTTTCGTTTCAATTCGATTGATCAGTCATTCTGACTAAAACATTTCACAATAGCTATTATGATTAGTACGGTTCAGAAGGCAATTAATTAGATAATGTTATTCATATCATTGGACCAATTTTTATTTATTTCTCGATAATTTTATTCCAAGACATAGGCCAGAGTTCACGCGATTTTTATCATTCTGTTCCCTGAATTCAACAGTTTTAAAAACCCAAATTTGAATTATCAATTCAACCTACATCGTAATTTAGTGTAAACAACAACAAAAAAAACTCATAACAAGAACATTGGACTTTGAAAGTGATATTTTGCACTTTATGATTCAAGTGCAATGTTTCACGCACGAAAAAATTGCATGAAAAAAAAATAGTGAATTCGCTGGAAAGTTCCATTAAAAATTCAGCTAGTTGTTACCCGATTTCAATAGAAAAAATCATTCAAATTTAATCTTTCTGTATAACTTATCCTATTGCTATATAGTTCTACGGAAAATCCTCGGCCCAAATTTTTCAAATTTACGCAGGAGAATTTCTACAGAAAATATGTCAATGCAACAACTTACATTGAAAAATCGAATTCTAGAGAATTTACCAGCGAATGCACTAATTTTTTCGTACGTGTCATGATTAATTTTTGCCAGCGATTCAACACGTCTCAATTTCGCTATCACAATGAAAGCTGAATTAACCAAAAAGAAAAGAAAAACCCTCTCCATCCCAATCTCAATATGTTAAATTTCAAAATAAACTCATGACACCTCACCAAATGCACGACAATACATACGAAAAGATATTGTAATGTATATAGCTAGACGTTATGAAGAAAAGATGAAGAACTAGATATCTCAGTGGATCCTGTTGTATTTTAGTTCCCTCGTTGGTCGACTTCGAGGGACCCAGGAACGATCCATATTTGTAAAAATTATCTAAGAGTGTCTCCTTCTCTACCCATCTGTCGTACAACCATTTGGATAATAGCTCTGGGTCTCTAGGCACCTGTCCATTAAAATTAAATAACAGTCGTTACTAAATTAAAGGCAAGAGACATGTAAACGTGATCACGAAGGGAAATAAATAAATAAAATCGAAACGTACCACCGAGCTGGGATACAATCGGTAAAAAAGGACGGTTTCACAGGGTGACCTTGACCCTGTAACGATCGTCGGCAAATCGATCGGTTTACCCTGAGGATAGGCTATCGTTATGTCAAGAACCCAGCTGATTTCGGGTCTAGCTATGGTCGAACCTGCCAATTGCATCAAAAAATTATGTCATCAGTGAGTATAATTCAATTCAATTGATAGATCTTTTTATGTTATGCATGGAAGAAAATTCTTCCTGTCTGAGGTTACGAGACAGTTATCAGAAACTTGAATAGAACCAATTCACTTCACAGTTTTTGCTAAAAATCTAAGAAAGATAACAGGATTTTCTTCAGCATTTATCTAAGAGTTTAAAGGAAATAGGATTTTTTTTAGATATTCAATAAAAACTTAACTGAAGCTGAGTTATCGTGAAATCTCGAACTCTAATCGAGATAATAAAAATTCCTTAGCTTCCGTTTTTGTACAGAAATCTCAAAGCTACTGACTTCTGAAGTCCTGAGATGTTTAACAAAAACTCAATTAACACTGACTCGAAGATTGATTCATAGGTAATTTTTAGACGTTTATGTTGAGTGTTCGAAAGTCCGTTTGTGAATAGCTAATACACAATCCATTCAAAAGAAGCATTAGCCATGAAGGAACACTTTAATTTGCAGTTAAGGTTTTGCATAAATTTCTCTACTGCTGTGTATGAAAATTCGATGATAAATATTGGACACATACATATTGTTTAATAGATGATTTATATTTATTTATTCATTTCATCGGATTCTTCTATTTAATCAGCGTATTCAACAAAAAAATCGTGCAATAACCCACTTAACTTGAAATTTCGTAACGAAAAATCGTGATTTGTAATGAATATTCATTTGGCTATCTCCAACCATTTATCAACAGTTGAAAAACCTCGTTACAAATATTGAACACATATTTTTCTATGTGAATACACGATTATTATTTCTTCATTTATTTTATTTGCAATTTGGCTGTACCTCCCAGATTTTCACGATTTCTCAAAATGAAAAGATGTGAATCCAATATTTTCCATCCAATTTTCATATTTAATTAGCTCATTCAATAAAAAAAATCGTGCAACAACCCAATTAACTTGAAATTTCATTCCTGAGACTCGCGATTTATTAACTATCAACGAATACTCATTTGCTCATTCCAATTCTTTGCCAAGAGTTAAATAATCTCGTTGACAATGAATAAGTTATTCTATCAGTGTGTGATCAGTGTATTCCTCGTTTACCCCAACCAAGACAACTTCCCACTAATCATAAATACGAATGTTCTTCCACATGTTCAAATAGCAACTGTTCATGTTTAAGGCCCGGGTGGATTATCTTTCGAACGTGATCTTGCTTGTTTTTTTAAATTTTGATCATCTGAAATCATATCCAATTGCTGTTCAGTTTTACACAGCCCTGGAATCTCCAAAAATTATAATTGTTCAATCAAAAAAACGTTGAAAAAAAGCTGAACATTTTCGAAGAAAGTTTTTCAATAATATTAGGAAATAAACTCAATAGGGAAGAAAGTGGAAATTAATAATTTGATGTATCTAATGGCTGTTAGGTTGTCATTTGTCACAGTAGTCAACGGCTGTCAGATCATCAGTTACCATGATAAATTATTCATTCACTATTTCCTCTCTATCGGATTTATTTCTTAATCTTTATTAAAAACGATCCTTGAAAATGTTCAGTTTTTTTCTACTTTTTTTGATTGTACAATCATAATTTTTAGGAACTCCGGCGTGATATAAAATCCAATGGAAATTGTGATATATTTTACATTATGAAGATAGAAAAACAATCGAGATCAGGTTCTAAAGATAATCCACCCGGACGTTAAATAATAAATAAATATAAATCAAATGAAGTGTGTAATGTTTACTTGATCTGGTGGTTAACTGAAGATCGGAGGAGTTGTTGTTTTGTGCTGGGCCAAGTTTTTCGAATACCATACGCATAGCACCTACCCTAGGCAGGGTTACATTCTCAAGAATCGGTAGATTATTCTTTTTGGCGTATTTCTGCGATGTCTCGCGTCTTTTGCATAAAAATCCCCCTTCAGGAAAAAGTACCATCCACTTGCGTTCGCGTGGCACATACGCCTCCTCCAGATGTCTCTCCAATTGTCTGAGACTCTCCTCTCTCCTTTTTCGACCCTGAATCATTCAATCGAATTTCGTCATCATGCTGAATTATTCATTAATGATTAATGGGAAGCAACTCGATGGGGTATCCATGCAACTCACTGAGGAGATGAAGAAGTCCTGGTGTAGCATCGATACAACACCAAAATTCGTGAATTTGAATATACTGTCCATTATCCACATGAGATTGGGCAGAACATTGGGTTTAGCATTGAATGTTGTCATGAGTATCGGCACGTCTCCAGTGCTCTGGTGATTCGCTATGACCAAAGTTCTGTCGCTAACGATACGATGAATATCATCGCCCTGTTCAATGACTGAAAAATATGAGAGATTGATAATGAGGTTGTAGATAATTTGTCGAGCATAAAAACATGTGAGCAGACCTCGAAACGGTTCAACAAATCAGAAATAGTGACAATGGTGACAAGAGTTATTTTAAAGTCAGTCAATAGCGATTAAAACAGGGGACGGTGGGGTAAAATAGACACGTTTGAGTTTCTTTTCAATGTTTATATCTCAGAAGCTCATGATAATGTAGGAGAATTGTATTTACCATGAAAGAAAGGCCGATTTCATTAACAGTTCATTGAGTCATTTAAATTTCGGAAAAATTGAAAGAAGGGTCAAAGGGTTTTCCAAGGTTTACGAGGGTTGCAAGGGTCAAATAAGAGGTCCACCATAGGAGTCAAGCAATTTTAAATCATGGGGCATTTGTCTTGTATTGCAAATACGTGAGCATTAAGTTTAATGTTAATATCGTAATCCAGTGATAATTCAATTCAGTCCAGTGATTCAATCCAGTGATCATTCAAAGGGTCCCGGGGGTCACGAGTGGTGCAAGGCTCGAATAATGAACTACTTTTTCGTCATATTGTGGATGAGTTACGATTAAGTTTAATTTTAATATCACAATCACATGATAATTAAACTGGACAATTTCACTGAAGTCTCGATTTTTGAAATTCTTGTATGTTAAAAACCAGTTTTTTTCTCGATCTTGTTTGATAAACATTGACTGCTTATTTCTTCTCCAATGATTGTGCATGCATTTTTTTTCTAAAATAGTGACAAGGGCCATTGAAAAACGTGACTAGAAAAATAACCATTTTCAAAGTTCAAATCAGGGCTTTGCGCAGGTCAAAAAGTTCTTGCTTGATCTAAAAAAGTAAAAAAAGGAAGCTGATGCCTTGAAATATTCACAGAATGATAACTTCACCGAAAATAATAACGAATAGTGATTTTAGTAACTAGGTTCGCGACCTGCACGTATGAAAAAATGTAACAGAAAAACTTGGCGCTTTCTTTAAGGAATTCTATTGAAATTTCCCGGGAACTCTATTAAATAAGTCTATTGATTTTTTGTGGAAATTTATGCGACTTTACCTCGCCATTTTTTCAAGAGATATTTGATAGAAAAAAGTCAAGAGAATGTTATTTTTCCAAAAATTCTTGGGCACAATAAAATCCCAGAGAAAAAACTTGAGAATTCCATACCCAACAATTTTTATAGAACAAATCTCCTCAGAATGATTTAAATAAAAATCAACATAAATAAACTATCAAGAAATATCAGTAACACACGAAGATCGATAATTGTTGATAGAATTCTAATCAATACATCAATAGAACGTCAACAGAATTCGTATGCAATTCCACAATTGGATTTATTTGGGAACTACAACAAGAAGAGTTGTACTTCCCAAATAAATTTAAAAAAAAATCCCATGTGATCAAAAATTCAATGACTTATCAAGATTCCTGAAAAAATTCACAAGTGTCCATTTAGCCCCACTCGCTCCTATGACCATTAAATACAGTAATAAAAATGTTGACTAAAAACTCACTGTCATAACCAGCGGACCAAGTCCACATGGAAACCATGGCCAACAGCCAGTGAAAAAACAGTCCCTCTATCCTCCAATACATCTGTGGATGATAAACCTTCACCGGTAACAGCAGCATCATCCACACGACATACGTCGGAATACAGTACACATTGTTTATTAAAACAAATCCCGTTCTCAGGATACATTTAACAAGTGTAACAATGTTATTCGCCAGACTGAAATACGTTGAAATATGTCAAAGGGATTTTCAGGGATTTTACCACTCGTATAATTGCACACAATGAAATTCACTGTCCACTACTTCGGTATTATTGCATTGGGTGTGATGGGAAGCCTCGGCAATATCCACTTATGCAATTACATTGTTAAGAAGTGTGTTGCAAGATGATTCAAATTGTACATGCCCTATATGAGGATATTTTTCTAATAATACTGATTAATCAATCCCTATTATTAGAAAAATATCATTAACTTCAAAAATCATCAACTCCAATTTGTGAATTATAACGTCAGCTCAACAAATGACTGTTAATCGATATCTGACATTCCGAGGGAATAAACTCATCACTCAAATGAGCCCTCTGAATCAGCAAATTCAACTAGACGTAACAATTGTCTTTTTATCCCAAAGATAGAGAGAAAATATTGCATTGACACATGAGTGTCCGTAATTTTAATTGAAAATAACAGCCTCGAAGGACATTACCGGCAAATCGAGGATGATATGTGTTACGTAGCGAGAGTGGAAGAAAAAACTGCAGGGAAATTAATAAAGGAGATAAATTCAATGATGTCATTGTGAAGAATAAGTGCAACGAAAAAAACTCACTTGATAAAAGCTGAGGAGGAGGGGGATGAGTCGGTCATTTTTGGTAAATGCCACCCGCTGTAGAATATCGAGTAGCCCTCACGTGGACAGTGATTATCCACCATAGCATTCCTCCCCCTATCAACCATAAATTATTACATAATGTGAACTCATCATCATTTCCACAAAGCCTCGAATCACTACAACTGTGCCACTGATGATAAAACGTCGGATATTCGTTGATTGGTTTTTTCAATATTTCTTGTTATACTCCCAAAGCCTATCCTTGTCCCCCAACAACTCGTAGTACACAATGCCTCGCACAATGTACGTAAGTGGCCACTGGAAATATTTAACTCTGAGAATTTCCTTCTTCTTCCTTTCGTATTTTTATAACTCCTTCCTCACACCCCACCGGCGACGGTTATGGCAATTTTTTCGTCAATTCCACGGGATTACCTCGCTGAAAGACAAATCCCCCACTCGCTGATTCACTGACACAATTCAATTCACAATTGTTTCATAATTAACTTTAATATTTAACCTCGTGGTCAATCATCAATGGAAACACCATTATGTGCTTCCTCTTCCTCCCGAGGAATATGAACCTTTACCTCGTCTGTTACACCTCGCGCTTCACTGCTTCCTCGACATCTGCACGAATTCTATATACACACATACACGAGGCGAATAATATCGTACGCTATTCACCGACTAACCTAAACTTCGGGTGAACACCTATTTTTTATTTATTTATTTTTCCACTTCGTCGATCATTCGATTTTGTCTCGCCAATCGTCACGTGCGGACTGCTGGTACTGTTGCGCGATTGGTGGGTGCTCTCGGGTTCTCCCCCCTCGTGGTTCGACTGGAAAATTTCCCCGAGTCCCCATGGAAACGGGACTTCAGGCCGAGTTGGCAGTTGGCTAACCAACACAAGGGCGACTTTTTTTTCACGTCACTGAGGCAGTGGAAAATCGAACGTGAACACGGAGGAGACGACAAGGTTAATCGTCTGCACTCGTCGCAATTGTCAGTTCTCTTCAGGTAAATACATTCATTCGAGGTTTAATTGGGGTTCAGTGCATTGTTGAGTATGCGTGGGTAATTCTCGTGGTTGTGGATCACTTTTTCCCGGAGTGATGGGGAATAATGAGTCACTCACTTTTTTTTACGGAATCGGTAGTCGACCGGTTGACTGGAGCACATGGTCGATTTTTGGAGTTGATTGAGAGTTTTCGAGGAAATGGGGATTTATTCGGGGGGTGAGACTGATCGTTTGCGGCATGTGGGTATAGGGGGGATGGGGCAAAATAGACACTAGACTTTTTTTAGATATTTAGGAAATTTATAACATTTGATACCTGGAGTTGTCACAAAGAGGGGGAATTGTACATTGCCAGGAGAGAAACCGTTTTACCAACTGTTCAATGAATTATCAACTTTTTTTAAAATCGGAATCCCCATATTACCCCATGAGGACATATTTTTCGTCATATTGCATTATGATTAAACTCAATAATTTTCTTGCAAGGAATAAATATCCCGTTTCATTAACTGTTCAATGAATTATTAAAATTTTTTTAATCGAAATCTCCATTTTACTCCATGAGGACATATTTTTCATCATATTGCATTATAATTAAACTCAATAATTTCCTCTATCTTAACGAGGGAGAATTTTACTTTGCAAGGAATAAATATCCCGTTTCATCAACTGTTCAATGAATTATTAAAAAATTTTTAATCGAAATCTCCATATTACCCCACAAGGACATATTTTTCATGATATTGCATTATAATTAAACTCAATAATTACCCCATCCCAACGGGGGAGAATTTTACTTTACAAGGAACAAAATATCCCGTTTCATCAACTGTTCAATGAATTATCAACATTTTTAAAAATCGAAATCCCCATATTACCCCATGAAGGCATATTTTTCGTCATATTGCATTATAATTAAACTCAGTAATTTTCTCCATCCCAATGAGGGAGAATTTTACTTTGCAAGGAATAAATATCCCGTTGCATCAACTATTCAATGAATTATCAACATTTTTTTCAATCGAAAGTGTCCGTATTTTAGAATTTTACTTTACAAGAAAAAAAAATCCTATTTCATCAACTGTTCAATGACATTAACATTTTTCTTTAATCGAAAGTGTCCATATTACCCCATGAGGGCATATTTTTCATCATATTGCATTATAATTAGCCTCAATAATTCCCTCCATCCCAACGAGGGAGAATTTTACTTTGGAAGGAAAATAATCCCGTTTCATCAACCGTTTCATGAATTATCAACATTTTAAAAATTGAGTGTCCATATTACCCCACTCTCCTCCATTCCTCCTGAAAAATGAGAGTAAAGCCATAGAAATCGCGTCATTTGGGATCATGAGAGCACATTTTTCGTCGTATTTAAGATGCGTTACGACTGAGGCTACAAATTTTTTGGAACTCCTAAATCTATTCTTGCGACAAAAATTCATGTCAGGACAGTCTTCAAATGGTCAGCACTAGGTTCCATTTTTTTCCTAATTGTCAACTAGCGCTTATTTGGTTCAAAGCGACTTGTTTGAGAAACTATTTTCTTTTCTCTCACTGTAGATCCGCGGTTAGCATGTACGATAATTTTCCATTCCAGGACAAGTAGAGGAAGGTTGTCGACAAAATGTCGACATTTCGGGGAATCATTGAGGAATTACCAGGAATCTCAGTGGATAGATTCGAGGAGGCTAATCGCAGCTCCAGTACAGTCTTCTTTCTCAGCCACTTTCATTGCGACCATAGAGTGGGTCTAGACCAGTCGTTCTTTCAACAATTAACTGAGAAGAATCAGTACCTCTACTGTTCACCGCTCACAAAAAATTTTATAGTGACAAAGTGGAATTTAGGTTCAATGCCCGATAGAATTAGAGAAATAACAGCCTGTAATCCAATTGTTGTTAGCTATAGAGATCCAAATGTTGGAGATTCAGATGGCAATTGTGATCTAGTGGTTACGGTAACTGCGGTACCAGCTGGACACTGTCCAGGATCAATCATGCTTCTGTTTGAAGCTAATAGAGACAATAAGTATGTAACTGTATTGTGCACTGGGGATTTTCGTATTCATCCCGAAGACTTTGCGAAATTGAAGCCACTGCATGTTAAAGTTAATGGTAAACTCGTGCCCAAGGCACTGGACAATATTTACCTCGACACAACTTTTTATGACGAGAGGCTCGAGCATTTGCCCAGTAGGCAGGAGGCTCTAGGCCACATTGTTCCCGTTGTTCAGGATTGGTTGAGACAGAGTGACAAGAATTTTATTGTTATTGAAACATCAGCTGATTATGGCTCTGAGGATTTGTTCAGCAAGCTGTCAGCTGCTGTTAAGCAACGGATCCACGTGAGGAATTGGGTTCAAGAGAGTTACAGATATATTCCGGAATCGTCTGTGTATTCCACTGAGAATACTCATGACACTCGGGTTCATGCGTGCATGATGAAACAACAGGCGAGATTTAGGACAAATAATAGTAATCCTTTGATCTGTAGGAGCGAAGTTAAGGCGGAGAACATTCTGACTATTGTTCCTTCTGTATTGAGGTGGATTGGGAAAGATTTATCGAAGGGGGTTACTGAATGGGAAGACAGAAGATTTTACGTCTGCTACTCGTGCCATGCTTCTTACAGTGAATTAAGAGAATTTATTGATTATTTTAAACCAAGAAAAATCCATCCTTGTGTTGTTCCTGGTGTTAAAGATGCGTGGTGTCCTGAGTCTCAAGAGAAATTTAGAGAATTTCAAGCGAAAATCAATTATGCGCATTTGAGAGCTCCGGAAGGGAGGGCTAAGAGTCTTGATTGTGATTTTATGGAGTATAAGTCTTTTAAGAGACTAAGACCGAAAACTGACAAATCATCCGATGACGATTTTTAATTATTTTATAAACTTGAGACTAAGTTTTACCATTAATTTTACCATTGCATGTTGATGCTCATGGGTACTAAGAGTTTTAATGGTGTTTTTATGGAGTATAAATCTTTTAAGAGATCAAAACTTAAACTTGACAATTTATCCGATGACGATTTTTAATTGTTTTGTAAATTTAAGACTAAGTTTTAATTATTTTTTATTTTTTAACTGGCGAAGTCATATTCTCAATCAAGTATTGAAGTTTTATACATTTATCGTGAAATAAACATGGAATTTTTATTAACGTGACTGCTTTGTTCGCTTCCTCTATTTTAATAAGTTCTCGAAATTGTTTCGATTGTGTTACAGAAAATTTCAAGCTCTCGTTAACTGAAAAATGGCAACCACAGCGCTTGCACAAGAGAAAGTCTGGGTGACAAAGCCCGTGTACGATAAAGCAGAGTCTGCTCACTTCGAGCGCCTGGCGAAGGTAAGTTTTGTTGCACCAAGATGAAAGATGAAAAATGTACACAAGCACATCTGTCAGACAATTAAACCATCATTATTCTTCTCATGCAAAACCTCTGGGTTGTCTGCTCATTAACAAATGCACGGGGAATATCTGGTGACAGCATACACATCATTCGTTCTAACGTCCAACATTGAATTATCATTTTTTTACTCGTCCAGTTGTTCCGTTTTACTTCCATTAAACTCAATAACTTCCTCCATCAAATGAAATTTTGGAGAATGAATGTTAGCATTTCGTAGAATGTTACTTGTCCAATCTATTGAATCACAGCGCACTTAATCGTTTAACATGAAAAATGTTGCAAGGTGGTGTCACATAATATTATGGAACGCTATCCGTCTAATCCTAAGAGCTTGGTATCTACTAATCAGCAAGAAATTGTAACGACTAATCATCAGACGAAGTCCTCGTCAAAGAAATCCAAGGAGAAAAAAAATAAAGCTGATAAAAACAATAAATATAATAGAGATGTTAAGAATGAGGATGCTGGACAGAAAGAGCAAATTGTACTTCAGGTAGACTTTGTGATTACCCCCGGAATTAGTTATTTTCAATTATTTTCTTATATTCTGCAGTCTCACTTTTAGTTATTCCATGGTACTTTGATTTTATCCCACAAGTTTACTTCAGTTGAATTGTTGATGTAGGCTTTCTAGATGAATTCAGTAGCGAAATAGTAAAATGGGTCAAGTCGATTTTAACTAGTGATCAGTTTTCAATTAATATCTCGGAATCTAAAGTAGATAGTAAAATTTTTGTTATGGCCATTTTTGTGGGGCGAATTGAGAGCTACAAAAAAGTCTTTACGAAAATTTCACTATCTTCCTTAGATTCGGAGACATTCATCGAAAAATCAGCTAATATTTCTGCCAAATATCCACTTACTTGCGAAAAGTATTTATTTTTCAACACCGTATTTCTCCAGTCGAGGCATTCCCAGGCAGTTGTCATTGGGTTTTAATTATGACAATTATACTGCTGCACTAGAAGATGATCATGTTAGTTACGACCTGGAGTGAACTCCCTCAATAATTGTCAACATTAAAAAAATCATCGAAATTTTTCCTTGACAATAAGAAATTTAAGAAAAATGAATAGTCATTGGAGGAGTTCGTGTAACGTCAAGTGCAACATAGTCATCCTCTAGAACAACACGATTATCATAACTGAAACCTAATCAGGCCTAATAAATAATGAGGCTAATAATCAGCCTAATCAGGCTAACAAATGCTTCTGTCAAGTAAATGAATATTTAGCAAAAGTAATTTTTTTCTCGGTGAATCGTTTTACCGTTTTGCTACTAAGTTAGATGATCCGTTTACAATTATGCATGAGTTTCAATTTTGTAGTGAATGGTAATCCTGAAATTAGCGCGTATTGTTTCACCAATTCGCTGCTGAATTTCACCCCAACATTAATTTGAATAGAAAATTATGCATCACTTGATTTTAAAGGCTAATGCTCCACACTGGATACCCATTGTTGTCGCTTAGCAGAGGATGACAAATATTCCCATTATTATTTACAATTTCGCTATTAATCTCAATGCATCACCATGAAAATCACCCAGTGCTTAATCATGTTGCCATGATTTTCATTTGATTCATATGGTGTTGAATGATCCTCAAATTAATCGGTATGGGTACAGGAGAGCCGAGTGTCTGCTTGTTCAGTCACCCCTGCCAGTGGGAGTTTGGCCAACGAGGTTGCAAAGGCGCGTCAACACATAAAAAAAGGTTTACAGTGTGTGAGTACCGAACATCTTGCTCACCTACTGAATTATTCAAGTGATTGGAAATGAAAATTTCATGAAAATTAGTCATCTCATTGACTGTTCAGAAAACATTGATCGAAAAACTAACGCTTTTTTTAAGAAAATCCATTTAGATTTTATTAAAAAATCCTATTTGTTTTTTATTCCAATTCTATTGGAGATTATGCCATTTTACCCTGTCATTTCGTTAGGAGCTATTTGATTAAAAAAGCGAATCGGTTTTAATTTTTCTGTAGACCATCTCGAATAGAAATTTTCTAAGTTTTTTTTTCGTCGTAATTGTCTCTCTTAATAAATGCCATGAAAAAAATTGAAAATTCTTGTTTAAAAATTCTTATGGAAACAATTCTAATAGATTGAGTTACATAGAAAAATCAAGAACTATAATTTTTTTTTTATTAACAAATACCTATTGAAAATGAATGAATAGAATTTTCTAATAGAATTCTAATAGATTTCCAGTCAACATTCAATAGAATTTCTTAGAGAAAGCACTAGGATTTTCCATAAAATTATTCTGTACATGTTCAACAGTTCCTCAACCGAATTCTCCGTTTCTTTTTTCTTCATTTTCCCCGAGTTAGATAGTCCTTTAATCAGCTTCCGTTCTAACTTCCACTCACTCTTACTCTAATTGTAGAATACGTAGAACAATCTAATCAACAGAATTTGCATTCTATTGCTTTCGTTGACTCATTAATGACAATTATAAGACTATTAACGCATTAGTTTTGGTTTTACATCCGGGGGAATTGATGATTGCAGGTCAATAATATCGCTGCAGATGTTAATATCAGTCTTCAGGATTTACCAGCACGTGTGGCTGCACTCGAGAAAGACAACCATGACCTTCGTAATAGTGAGTATTCTCGAACAAAAATTGAAATATTTACATGGCTTCTTTTGTAATGTTAATTTAACAAGTGATACTTCGACCGAAAAGAGCATGAGAATTTTATGGAGAAAGATGAGCTTCTGTGCTTTTGCTGTAGACAAAATCATGTCATGTCATCACATGGTTTAGCATAAGTTGTGTCGTACAGACCTCATTCCACATCCTGTTTTACATTATCATAATCGCTTAATAGATGCTTTCAATGATTTACTTAGGTTTTCAAACACTTGACAAAATTTTTTCGTTGAAATGCTTTAACATTTTTAATTAAAGATCGGATTGGATTAAGATTTGTTTTTTTCGAAGCATTGATTCGAGCCCCTTTTTGCTGTGATTTCACTGTTCACATTTGAAGGTCTATTCGTACGAAAAAAAATTATAGAATAAGATTTCTATTGAAAATCTTATTCATGTATTTTTTATAGAATTCCTAAATTTTCCAAGTTTTTCTATTTGATGTTTTTCAATTAGAGTAGAAAAATACATTAGAAAAACTTGGAAAATTTATTTAGAATAATTTCTATAGAAAAATTACTTCCTACTGATCATGTCCTATAACAATGAAATTAGAAATCAGAATTTTAATAAAAAATATTGAAATTTTTTAGCGAATACACTAGCTTTCTCTATGACATTTTGCCATATAAAATAGAAATTCTTTTTTTTAATTAAAAAATCACTATTTCTGAAAATTCAATCTATTCGAATAAATTATTTATCAATTTCCAAATTACAATTAAGGACAAATGCATTAATTGAACCGAGTCCAAGCCCTTCACCTAGGAGAAAATGTCTGGTCTATAGTGGCAAAACCTCACATCATTCACAGCGCGATAAGTTATTAACATTCACCCCACCCTCCCATGTTTCAGCTGTTTCTGAGCTAAAAGCTCTCCTTGAGAAACTCGATCTCAAAGTGAATTCAACAGTCCCAGAGCCTTACCTGGCTGTATGCCCAGCAAAGCCACAGAAGTCTGAAGCCGCAGCACAAGACGACGATGACGATGTCGATCTTTTCGGTTCGGACTCTGAGGTAAGAGAAAAAAAACCCACAACGACTTTTCATTCATCAATTGATATTTTCAATGGAAAACACATTGTATGAATTTTTCGTGCCACAGATGTTTTTCAAAATTAATTTTTCCCCTGTTCAATTGAAAGATAGATCGTGATATTTTCCCAGCATGAACTCTCTCGAGACATTATCTCTTCTGTACATATTATATCTTCGGTTTTTTCAATACTTCGATCGTTATTGTTAAAGATGAATTGATATTTAACACCAGATATTCCCGAAATTCTAAGCATACACAAAGTAAACTCCATAACAGTGTCATCTAAAATCATGTTTTACCAGTCATAGCTTCAAGTATACAAACGATTTCATTGACAATTTATCGTAAGTTGAAGAACATGTAAAATAGAAAAGTCTATATTGAATTTGTTCAGTTGATACGGTAGTTGTTGACTTATTGAATTATATAATCATTGCTGTGAGTTCGAGTGAATTATTTAATTCGATTTTCAATTAATTCGATAACAAAGGGTGAAGATGCAGAGGCTGCCAGGATCAGGGAAGAACGTCTTGCTGCGTACAACGCCAAAAAATCCAAAAGTATGTATTTTTTCTCATTGAGGATATCATCACGGGGTTCCAAAATCCCAAAGAAAATTGTAAAAAAACCAGACTTGAAATTTTGCCTGATGAAAAACAGTTGAAGAAATAATCGGATAGTAATCTTCAAATTTATCTCGTGTTCTCGTGGAGAAATACAATTTTTTCATGAAAAGAAAAAAAAACCTTTAAACTTTCTAAAATATTATGCTATATGAACATTATATTCATTGAATTTAAGAAAAATCGTGTTTTTAAATTAATCAGTTGAAATCTGCATATTTTCCTGTAATAGAAGATATTGTGATGCCCTTGAGGTCTTGTCAATAAATTTTCGCTTGAATTGGAGCCAAAAAAATTGAGCAATCCCTTGTAAAATTATTGAATCAAATTTTCTAATGGTTATATTTCGTCAATGCACAGAACCAGTACTCATTGCCAAATCCAACATTATTCTGGATGTTAAACCGTGGGATGACGAAACTGATATGCAGGCATTGGAAGCTGAAGTCAGGAAGATCAATACAGATGGCCTACTCTGGGGAGCAGGTGAAATCCCATTGCTTAATGATAATAATTAATTACATGTGACAATTAATTGAGAGATAATCATTAATTCTTCGGCGAAGCGATGAATAATTAAGATAATTTATTTAATTAGATATGTCGTGAGAACTATTAATGTCGTTAAAAAAACTAGATGAATTTTTGTTAATCGAGTAAAATTAATTCAACTACTAATTCCATTCCAGCGAAACTGGTGCCCCTCGCCTATGGAATCCACAAGCTCCAAATCTCATGCGTCGTGGAAGATGACAAAGTCTCTGTCGACTGGTTGACCGAGGCGATTCAAGACCTGGAGGATTATGTACAGAGTGTGGACATAGCTGCATTCAACAAAGTTTAAACGATCCAAATTAAAAACCATAAACTTATGTTCAAACCAATCCATATACTCATGGTTCCATGTCGCCATTCCGTTGTAAAATGAAATAAAAAAAATTCAGTGTAAGAAATATTCATTTTTCATTCATCATTTGGCATCTTTATCATTAACAATTCACTACAGTTGAATTTCAAAGAGAATCTGTAGATAAAAAAAATCCTAGTGTAAATTTTCTTTTTTCCGTGTGTTCAAAATGTTAGAAAATCTAATTTGTCATTTCAACAACTCATCACCAATGAGTTCCTCAATTTTATCAATTACAATTTCAGATAAAAATTTAAGTTGAAGCGAATAAAACATCAAAAATGCCACAAAGAACCAAAACATCCAGATAACGTGGGAGTTTTTTTTTATTTCTCTTATTTACATTGAACGAATTGATTTATTTTTGTTAAATCGGCGTTGGCTGGCTGCACACTGAGTGACATCACAAGCAAATTGAAAGTGCAAAATTCAACTCGCGACTTGCGATGCTCTGCCCTCATCCTGACAGCATCAATCGATGTCCCGATTATTCGGTAAATTCTATTCAACTTATACAACTACGCTTCATGAGTTTTGGTAATTCTTCTTGCTTTATTTTTCTTTTTTTTTCATTGTTGTTCAATCGCGTCAACTGACGGACGATTCTCATTCTGTATAAAAGTTGAGACACATTGACTTTTACTTCTTCTTAGGGATGAATGCTAGTTTGGTACTCTTTATGGTTGTCCACTTGTGTTTCTTCATGTAGGTGAGACCGATTATCAAGATGGTGCCGATGAACATGATCTGGAAAACATAAATTAATAGATCAAGGGAGGAGCTAGGAATTCCATGGGGGAGTTTGTAAGTTTTAGAAAAATTACATATCAAGCAGAGATTGCACTGACTTTTGCACTGAAATTTATAAATCGCTGGTGCCTTCATCTATAGTGCTGATGAGTTTACTTTTTAGTGTCTACGTAAAAATTTTTTTAAAACTCAAGTTTGAATTTTTTTATTGATCAAAAAGAGACTTTAGAGGAATAAAATCTTTAAAGGGATCCTCATAACGCAATTCAGAATCGATTAATATGTACACAAACACAACTTAGTTTTTTGAATTTTTTCGTCAAAATTAGTTGACATGAAAAATTGGAAAAATTAGCAATATTCAACGTCATAAATCATTGAAGAAAGATTTTTTCCATATTTTTCGAATTATTTATTCAGAATATAATGATAAAAATGATGAGAAAAAGTATGATAAAATCTGAATAAGTGAAAAAAAAAAATTATTCCTTATTTTTTCATATTAAAACTGAAGTAGTAAACTCAATACGATAGATGGGAGCCCCTGCAATCTAAAACTTTTAGTGGAGGCTGCCCTTAAGAACGTGTTGAGATCATGCTAGGATTATATTGATGTTTCCCTCGATGAGAAAATGAACCAACAGTATTTTTCCATCATTTACCTTGATAAATAGCCTCTTCCTTTCATCGTACTCGTGGTTCGCCGTCCACATGAGGAACGTGACAACGTCTTTAGCTACTTGCGATGCAGTAGCTGGTGTTCCATCCTCGAAGTCAAGGACCTCGTCATAAATAACCTGCGACACGAAATTACAAAAAAATAAATAAATCGATAAATCGACGTGCAGGAAAGCTGCGGAATTCTTAAATAGAATCGGCCAAAAACTAATAGAATTATCAAGAGAGGTTCGATGGAAATCTAATAGAATTGAAGTCCATCGTTACCAAGAGAACTCATCATTCAGTCAAATGTGAAAAATAAATTCATAACATTTCGCCACTTTCGTACTCAAGTAACAAATTAACAAATCAACTCGTGCAAATAAATTATCAATTCATTTACCTGTCCCATACCGATGGCACCTCCGGCGAAGTATGGGTTGAAGTACTGGCCATCCCTGAGCGGAATGCCGGCTGGAGGGTCGCAGTACCCAGTCAACAGAGAGAAGACGTAATCCTGGGGAGAAAAAAAATCATAATTCGTAAAATTTTATGTACTTTTACGGTTAATTAATGAATTAGCTCATCACTAGCTCGATAATTCAGCCTTTGGAAGTGAATTAAAAATACGAATCGAACAAGAAAACATCCTTAAATGAGAGATACTATTCTTAACTTGAAAACTTTCATATTCTTCAGTGGAAACTATTTGAATTCTTCATCCAATAATCAATGGTCTCAATTTAATGATGAGATATTGTCGATTCGATAATTACAAAAAATCAGTTTTGAATCAAATATACTTCACTTTAGAATAAATATTCTCAATTTAATCATGTTTAACCAATACGAATTCATTCTTGAGAAATGAAATATATAATATGCCCCAAATGTAGACGAAACATATTCATTATTTGCCAGCATCACATCGATGTTTATTTTGATTTTTTAATGCTTCTAATAGGTGAATTATCAAGTTGAAAATAACTCTCACAAGACCCCATATATTGGAAAAAATTGGTTCATGGAATTTCGTTAATATTACTGCAACTAAGTTCTTTTAATTATCAGATAAGTTGGTGCCATGTGTTCCCTCATCAGTCTAAAACCCCAGACTCTTTTCCCTATGAATGTTCGATGTTACCTCTCCACCATGTCTTGCATTGATCATGTACGAGAGATCTGGTGGATAAGCGCCGTTATTTGCAGCACGTGCAGCTTCCTCGTTGGGATAAGGGTGGGGAACGTAGTCCGTGAGTTCACCCGGTCGCATGTAGTACTCGCCGACGTCATTCGGACCATCTTTAACCTCGATCTCCGCGGCGAGTGCCTTAGCCTCGTCCTCGGTGTGCGTTACACCCACGAGATGACGGTAGGCTACAAATTGAAGACTGTGACAGGCGGAGCACACGTTCTTGTAGACTTCCCATCCACGTCTCATACTGAGCATTGAAAAACAAGCATTCAGTTTACCTTCTCCATTCAATTTTATGCAGTCAAGACTTGCTTATTTCTGGCCTTAAGGTATATCCCAAGACAATCGGACCCAAAAGTTTGCCCCTAGGGATTTCCGGAAAAATTCTAAATAACTTGATTTACTGCATTCTCATAAGTTATTGAGTTTTTCTATCCTGAAATGTTGTTGATGCAGGCAACCATACACTGTTGGAATTTTTTGAAATTTCATGGAAAATATTATAGTAAATCTCTATTTTTCCTAAATCTGAAATTTCAAGTTTTAAGTAGAATTCACGGAAATTGCACAACTTGATTGAATTTTCAGTGGAACATGAATATTCAGAAACAAAATGCCATGAATTTACAATTTTTCCCTGAATTTTCATGATTTTCCTGAATTTTCACAGAATAATTGAACTGAAAAATCAAGTATTTTATTGATTTCCAGATTATTTGAACAGAAAATCAATGGAATATTTGATTTTTCAATGACAAGATTTCCTAATATTTCAGTGGACCTTGAACACCATAAAAATTTCAGGAATTTGGCACGCAAAATTCAGACGAAAATTTTTAACAGTGTAGCAGTTTGAATCAAATAAGGAATTAGTTGATAATTAATTGTTTGAATCAAATACGGAATCCTTGGAATCGATGAGGACCTTTTTAATATAAAAATTTGATGGACTAGGGGAGAGTCAGTCATCTTTAGTTATTAGCAGAGACATTGGAATTGTGAATCATTCATCTAAAAATGTCCGCGTTCCAGAGGTATTTTCAAAAAATCAGTGTAGAAATTTCAAACTCGTCTGCTATTATGAAGTAAATGCCATTCAATAGTTCTAGTTTGTCATGTTCTCATCAATATTCGACTCTTCCCTCCTCAAAATCCTTTCACGCGTTTTATTTGATTCTAAATTCACCCGAAAAATCACCTGGCATGATCAAGAGAGGCGATAAGCCCGTGAAAACTCCAAGGGTAATTTGGGGGGTGAGCGATGAGTTCAAATGCCTTCACTGAGTTCTCCAGTGTGTAGAGGAGGGCACCAATGCCACCAACAGCGACGCCCAGGCACGTCGTCATCTGTAATCCGTAAATAATCAATCTCTACAGGAAGAGGATTTGTTTTGGAGAAATTAGGGGCACTATGGGATGGATTCGAATGATAAAATGAAAATTGTATGTTCAACCTACCGCTTTACGACCTCTAGACCAGTCCCGGACTGTTGAGAATTGACTAGCCTGCAAAATAAATAAATTCATTATTTCAAAGGGCTTTATATTTCAAATGAGGGGAAGCAACATGATTTGAGGACCAGCTTCTTCAAATAAATATTTTAAATATTTTTAAATAGATATTTCATGAAAATTTTAACGATTGAATGAAATTAATTCGTTTAGTTTTAATACTTTATGGAATTATTTCATAATTCATTACTTTATTCGTGACATCTTCCAGTCTTGAGAGATTTTCCACGAGGGATGTGTCTGAATGTTAAATAAATAAAGAATCAAGTGGTTAATTAAATAATTGACGAAAAATTCGAGTGATTAACTCCAACCAATCGATTTTGACTTCACAAATATTCAGTTCTCTTCACATTATCTAAAAAATTCGACATTCTCTCAGAAGAATGAGCAGAACCCAGAAATGTCAGTCGACACCTAAATTTCCCATCCAACAACAAAAATCTGAATATTAAATAAATGAAAACTCCAGTGATTAATTAAATAATTAATAAAAAATTAGAGTAATTAACTCCAACCAGTCGATTTTGACTTGACAAATATTCAGTCCTCTCAACAAAACCAAATTTTAAAAGAATAGACAAGAGGAAGTTTTTCCTTGTTGTAAAAGAATAGATAAAAGGAAGTTTTTCTTTCCAAACTCTCTCATCTGCAAAAAGTCTCTCCCCATTATCTAAAAAATTGCACATTCTCTCATACGAATGCGCAGTTCCCAAAAATGTCAGACTAACTCATCTCCTATAATTCCACCCGTAAATATCCCCTCCAACAGCAAGAATAACAACAAATATAAGGACTTTGTGCTGATCTCCATCGAGTACTAGTCCGGCAGTAACACTTGTCATGTGTTGCCGACAGATACTCTCTGGGTGAGGTGAATCGGAGCAGGATACAATAAGAACATATAACCATTACATAACACCTGAAAATTCATCAATGCGATTGAATCCACGAGATCGTCTCCACCCGCCGATAACACATGTCCCCATTGACCAATAATTCTACCCAATAATAATATCGATAATTGTCAAATTAAGGGAATAATGTCACACACACATAGCACGAATCATACGGCCGCAGACAGCAGTCCAGTGGGTACTAACACCATCCGCGATATTTCACTCAAGACTCCCGTGATTATCATCGATAATTAATATCCCATAATCCCCGATTTTTTTGCCATTATTTAGTCACTGTTTATTGACTCACCTGATTGAATAAACCCGCATTGTTAGGCTTTAAAAGGCCTGATCGACAAATTCTACCGATCGACGCTGCCATCTTGGCCAGAGGTGCAATGTGCAAAGAGCGCAAGTCAACATAATGACTGTCAACAATTTACGACTCTAAACAATCCAGAATATAATGAAAATCGATAATTTTTTAATCTTCAAACCGATCAACATTTTTTCGACTGCAGAATATTTTTCATTTATTTTTCCACAACAAAATGAGAGCGAAAAGTCGCTCGCATGATTCAGATCAGTTCTGCCAACATAATTATTTAAATGTCGGAGGGAATTGCTGGAATTCAATGAGTTTAACGCATTAATCTTGTAAAATAAAGGAATATTGGCCAATTGAATACATGAAAGTTTTTTTTCTTAAATAAGTTTTAAATAATGTATTATGTGACTGGTACGTAAAGTTTTATTTTTGTGATATCTAACGAGTTCACTTTTCAGCGGCTGTAAAGTGTGTTTTCTGTGCGGAGTGCAAAAAACTTCGTTTTACGCACGGGAATTTACTTTACACACGTCATTACGTATGACAAAATTAAATAGAAAAACTTGACACTTTCTCTCCGAAATTCAATGGAATTTCTATTGAACTCTATAAGAATTCTATTGGAGTTCTATTACAATTCTATTGAATGATTCTATTGGTTTTTTGCACCAATTCTTTCAAAAATTATGAAACGTCCTCCCGCGTCTTTAAATTTGTTTATAGACATGTAGATCATTTTCTTAAGGTCAAAATATTTCTTGATAAACTTCTCTCTATAAAAGATATTTTCATCCTGGGAAGGCACCGTTTCGTGTGAATGATCGCCTCTTGAGCCAAATCAATAACGAATCGGTAAAACGGTTCAAGTCGATTTCGTCCTTAGCCGAGTTTTCGAGGAATATCTACGAATCTAAGGAAGATAACAAAATTTTTCTAATGACCTTTTTTGTTGAACGAATTAAGGACTGCAAAAAAGGTCCTAACAAAAATTTTGCTATCTCTCTTGGTTTTCGATATATTCGTTGAAAACTGGCCGGTAGTAAAAATCGACTTGAACCGTTTTACCCCTTTGCCACTGGAATATTTCGTTATTATTGAGGGCAGCAATTTCCTTGGGGTAATTTTCAAGTAGCTATTACTTTGGCCCAAGCAAAACTTGTTCGAGAATTTTTTTTTTTCTCTCAGTGTAAAATTCTGGAAAATTTCCATTTCATTCAATCACGTCTTCGAAAAATTGAGGAATATGTCGGAGGACTGCGCATGTGCACAGCAGTTGGCAGCAGTGGTGTCCAGTTTTCTCACGAGAGGCCTGAGCAACGGTGTCGGCTTGCTGGCTTTGTCAGATGGTGTCGCGTATCCTTTAACATCGCATCAATCGTCGTTAAACTGATATTGAATCAAGATGAGCGCTGGAATGCCAGAGCTGGGCTCTAAGATCAGCCTAATATCGAAGGCCGATATACGATACGAGGGAAGGCTATTCACCGTTGATCCACAGGAGTGTACAATCGCCCTTGCCAATGGTGAGCCTTTCAATTCTGTTACTTTTACACTTAAAACGTATTTAACGAATTCAAGATGGTGGTACTATCGTTGGTAGCATCATCCTGCTCCATTTTATTTGACTGATGGTTACAACTTGGGGTTTGTGGGCGCTGGGCTGTGGGGCTCGGGGAAATTGTTTCGTCATCGGCTTGGGGGGTTTGTGCAATCAGTGGAATTATTTTTTTTAGTCTGACCGAGTTCGTTGTCCCGCTTGTTTTCGGGGGGAAAACAACGGGAGTCAACCGGCAAATGTTGTAACGGATTATTATTTTTGTCATTTCTTTTGTCGTCGTGGGGATTCTCTTCGGGGAAAGGGAGCACATGCTCTGCTCCAATTTTTCAGGATTTTTGGCGATTAATTTCTGGGTTTTATGGAGTTTTTCAAGGGTTTTCGAGAGTTCTTCAGGGGGTGATGAGCATTTTTTTCTTTTTGGGCAAGAGGAAATGTCGGGAAATGTTCTCATAACTGAATAAATTCCCTGAAATTTTGAAGATGCCTGTAATTTTACGCATTCATTTTGAGTTAGAGATACATTTTTCGTTATTATTTTGGTCGATTCTTCTGTCGCTGCTGGAACTCTCTTGAGAGAAAGGCAGCAGATGTTCTACTCCGATTTTTCAGGATTTTTCATGTTTTCGTGAGTTCTTGAAGTGATGATGAAAATTTTCGTGATTTTTTCGGGCAGAAAAAAATGTCCATAAATCTTTTACAATGGAACATTTTTCATTATTTGTCTTGGGGGAAAAGAAACATGTTCTGCTCCGATTTTTCAGGATTTTTTGTTGTAAATTTCTAGGTTTTCAGGAGTTCCGGGGGTTTTCTTTGATTTCTTGAAGGGATAACGAGCATTTGTACCAATTTTTTAGTGCACACTGGCGATAAAATTCGCTCCAAAATGTGAAAGTTGGTCGAAACAGAAAGAAAGGAATGTTTTCAGACTCGTGGCTTCCTTCGGAAATCGAGAAAATTCTCGATTTGTCTTTAATCTTTATTTTCTACCTCTGTATGAAGTAGTCTTCCTTTAATCGACAATGGAATCCCGGTTTACCCATTGTTTGCACCGATGGGCTTGTTTACATCGTTGTCCTTGTCACTGCGAAGACACACTTATAATCCCCCGTTTCAGTCTCACCATTGTCTTGAATTCAATCTGATTCGGAGTAAATAATTCGGTCGGATGATTTTTGGGGGAAATTGAAATGATTTTTGGAGCGATGGATGAAATAGTGAGGTAATACCATTATTCAGGGGAATTGATTTGCGTTTGAATGTTTGTTTACAGTACGCTCTTTTGGGACGGAGGATAGGGAGACACAGTTTCCTGTGGCACCGCAGAATCAAGTGTACGAGTATATTTTGTTCAGGGGTTCGGATATCAAGGATATTCGGGTTGTCAATAATGTCAACACGCTACCCAATGATCCAGCTATTGTGCAGGTGAATTAATTACTGTGAATTCATCTTGATGGATCACTAAATAATTTTTTTGTCAGAACTAATTCAACTGATTGACACAAATGTTCATCAGTCACAATCGTAATAATTTTTTTTTTCAAAGAATGAAGATTTAATTTATCAATCGTTTTAATTTGTCAATTTATCGATTTTGCAAACTTCAAAAGTCATTTTCATCGGTTAAACATGCATTTGATTTTTTTTTGATGAATTATATTTGTTTTGACATGTGTCCATTAACAGTTCAATGACCCATTGAATCAGTATTTTTTTTATTGGAACTTATTTAACTAATTGGAACAGATCTTCATGCATTATAATTTACATAATCATTACATTAATTAATCATACAGTAGTGTTAATTAATCATACATTAATTAATCACTTAGTTGACTCCGGAAATATTTGAAGAAATTGAGAGTTCGTTAATCAATTTTTTCAACTCCAAAACAAATTTTCGCCAGTGGAGAAGAGGTGAATTAGACTTTCCTTTGGAGGAGTTCTATTTTCCTAAAATGTTAATCGTCAACTGAATTGTTAACGAAATGGGATAATTTTTTTAATGGCATTCAATTCAATTATCTCAATTAGTAAACTTGTTTCTGAGTTATGAACATTATAGTTCTTCGATCATTAAATAATGTTTTTTCACTTCAAACCACTTTAACTAGTTGAAACAGATTTTAAATTAGAATTTCCATGATTTTCCAACGATTTGAAATTTAATTTATTAACTCATTCATTTTGTATTTGTGGATTTCATACATTTTCACACAACGAAAATAGTGAATGCAAAAGAAAACTGATTTATAGGAGAAATATGCACTCATGGTTATTAAAAAAAAAATGTTTATGTCTTAGTCACTTCTTAAAATAATTCTGCTACTACAGTCACTATTTCTGATTTGCTAAATCTGATCGAGGCCTAAAACCACCAGTTGAATAATTTTATCAATTGACCAACGTATTTTAATCACAGATGACGGTACAGCCGTCGATGGGCCAACAATCCTATCAACCTCAGCCAGGCTATGGGCACCCAATGATGCCCCAGATGGGCCCAATGGGTGGTCAGTACGGGGCGCCCTATGGCATGCCCATGGCTGCAATGGGCCCTGTAATGGGAATGCCAAATGCCGCGAGGGATCCCCGTGCACCCATGAACAAACCGAATAGTGAGTTGAGCTCCGGCCCTGCTGAACCAAGCATCATCAATATCCCAAATTCTCTGCCGACGGCGAACGTCAAGCCGTTGACAAAAGATCAATCTCTGGAAGATGGTAAACTGTTTTTGCTATGAAAAAAAAGACAAAGTTGAGACATGAGAAAATTACACGAAATTTTCCACTTTAACGTGCCTGCAACTTGCTTCTGCCAGCTTCTACATTCATTGATAATCTCACGCTTCTGCTTTATTTTTTTCTTTCTCATTGCAGTCATTCATATTGACGCTGCTAAAGGTTTGATCTGCTTGAATTCAATCGCTTTGTGTTATTTTGGATAACAACCAATGCCAGAGTTTGATATTTTTGCTTTTGCTCAACGTCCAATTGCCTCATTACCCTAATTATTCTCTAATCTACACTCACTTGCCTGCTGTCCCACTAACCGCATGCATCATTTATTCATGTGGAAAATCATTAGCAACAACAGTTGATACTCGAAACACCTCATCATTGTCAATTGCAAACAGTCTGAGAGCTGCTGATTGTTCGTTTGAGTCTGTAGCGAAGTGGAGCATTTTATAAGTAAATTAATTATGAATTGATGAAACGAGATGAATCAACTAATGTAAGACTTAGTATCCACCAATGTCAAAATGAAATTTACGAAAATTCCCCTTGGATTTTCTTGTTTTACCTCTCTGTCACTGAATTTGCATAGATAAACCTAAAATGACTTAATCGTAGGGATTGTTTAAACATTTTACTCGTTAACCCTGAAACGATCCAATCGTCGATTAAAAATGGATAAAAATGTGGGGTGATATCCCAACAAAGAAGTTTCGATTAAATAACCACTTCGCTCCAGAAATAACAATTCCATCAATCATTCATTAATTTCATTGGTTTGGTCTTGCAATCATCGCCTGGTGCCCCTTGCAAATAACCCTGAAACGATCCAATCCCAGGAAATGTTTGAATATTTTGTTCGTTCATCCAGGCGTCCTGGAGATGCTGAGTGGAGCCTCCCGTTCGACGACTCCCACGTCGTCCCTGCTGAACCGAAAGAGTCCCACGAACGATCAGGGCACTCAGGTTGGCCGCCAGCAGCAGCACCAACAGCCCCAGCAGAATCAGCAGGCGCCTGTGGGCAAGGTCGGAGACAAACCCACCAACAGGAATGTTCAACCACCCCATCGAGAGCGTGACGCCCACTCGAAAGGTCGCAGTGGCAGTGGTATGTCCCAGTACAGTGACACCAAGAGGGATCAGATGCGTGAGCCATTGCATCAGGATGGACAGATGCAGCACCAGGGACAGCGTAATGTACATATTGGTCAGGGAGGTCCTCGTGGAAATCGTGGTGGCTGGATCCCACGTGGTAATATCCAACGTGGACGTGGCAGAGGCGGTCGTGGTGGTGTCTTCCGTTCTAATCAATCTGGACCTGGAAATGCTGGGGTCAAGCCCAAGAATACACTCAAGTTCGATAATGATTATGACTTTGAACAGGCGAATACTGAGTTTGAGGAGTTGAGGTGAGAATTATTTCATTTTTATAAAATAGATTCAGGATAAATTTAATTTAGTGTCTGTAATAAATTTCATATGGGTCATTCCATTAGGGAATTAGCATGATTTGTGCCGGGTTCGTTTCGATTATTACTTCGAAACGGCGAATGTGGATATCATGCGAGAGCAAATGATACGTTATTAAAGCCGTTTGAAGGCATTTCGAATGGTTTACGCTACGTATCTACAGACTGATTGCATTAGAGGACAGATTTTAGAGGATTGTTATTAAGTTGATGATTGGTATAATCAATTAGCAAATTAACTCAGTGACGAGGAGTGTGAGGGGATCGTCACTAAATTCATGAAAATATCGAAATTCCAAGTTTGACAAATTGTGATTCTCAGCTCGTCCACTTCATTAATCATTACGCATGTTTAGAAAAAAAGTATTCAGAGAGGATTGAATGCCTAACAGAAAAACAAAAAGAAACCCTTGAAAAATGAGTAAAGCCTCAATTATCTATTTTTTTTTCCAAATTTTACAAATTTAGTAGCGAAGCGATTTAGCCCTTAGCTGAGTTTTCGAGAAATATCTCTGAATCTAAGGGAGATAACGAAATTTTCGTAATAACCTTTTTTATAGTGCGAATTGAGGGCTACAAAAAAGATCATGACAACAATTTCGCTATCTCTCTCAGATTTCGAGATACTCATTGAAAACTGGCCAATAATAAAAATTGACTTATCTCCAAAAACATTCTGACGTAGTGAAAGCTCATCAAAAAACAAAAAAAAACAAAGAGGCGCGAAAAAAATCCTTGAAAGATAATCAAAATTTCCCCATTTGTAGTCTAATAATTTTTTCCATTCATTAATCCCCAGATCTCGACTAGCAAAGACCAAGATTGACGCAGGTGCTGAGAACGAGAAGAAAGACGACAGTGGTAACGAGACTGGTGCTGGTGAGAACGAGCAGGAGGAGGACTCGGACGTGGTGCACTACGACAAATCGAAATCGTTCTTCGACAATATCAGCTGCGAGGCAGTTGAGAGGAGTAAAGGGTCAGTACATCACAGATTAAAATTATCACACGTGTTGGTCTCATAAATTTTTTTTTTCAATTTTTTTTTTCGTTCACGTTTATTTTTCGTTTGTCGTGTTGACTTACTTGGTCCGGAATCAATCGATTCCATGCTGTCTAATTCCCATTAGAAGATCTCAACGTACGGACTGGAGAACAGAGAGAAAACTCAACTCCGAGACATTCGGTGTGTCATCAACGAGACGTGGTGGCTTTCGTGGACGTGGATACTATCACAATCGTGGCATGTCTGGTGGCATGTACCGTGGTAATAATCATGGTAATGGAGGACAAATGGGTGGATACCGCGGCAACTACAGGGGACAACGTGGTGGTAATAATGCTAATCGTAAAACTGGACAAAATCAGAGTAACAATGCCGGCCAAAATCGCAATAGCAACGAACAGAATTCCAATCAGCCACAGCAGAACAGTCGTCTCATATCCGGTGCTGTATAAAATCAATTGATTAATCATCACCAAAAGATACAATCATTCTCCCCTTACCCGTCAAATAGTTTAGGTAAAAGAGATGTGAAAGAGGATTATCGATTTCATGGTTTAAACTAAAATCGACGAGAGACAATTTATAAGTATTTACCTTAGATTAAGATTTTTACGAATATGTGCTTTCATGTCAAAAACAAAAAAAAAAGGATACAAATTGAACATAGAATTTTTGAAGATTGAGTCCCACTTTTGGACTGATTAATGAGAGTTTGGTTTAAGTGGGACTTGAAAAATTATGGAATATGTATTTGATCTTCGATTGATGGAGATTCGATGCGTGAATGGTAAATTCTTGAATCGCGTATTATTGAGTTATTATTATGCGATTGATTGGTAGTGTCAGGGGGGAAAATCGACGGCCATTTCAAGGATTTATTTCTAAATGATGGATGAACAAAAGTTTATGAGGTGTCAGGTTCAAGGGGTTTGGGGAAATGAAAGAAATAATTAAATTAGTTGAGGGAGTTATGGAACTTGAGAGAAGTTTTCTGTGAAGCTTCGATGGAACTGGCTGTATTTTAAATGTAATAATCATGAGACATAGATTTGTAAAAAGGGTTTCAGGGAATTGGTGATGAGAAGCTATTCGAATCTGTTAATTAGGCCTCAGTGTTTCTCCCTCTTCATTTGCATGACGAAAGTTTTGGAATTGGCATTAAATTAATTGATATAAAAAGAAAGGTGTACGATGCTGGGTTTTTAAAGTGGATTTCTGTGAGTTTCAATCATTGTGGGTGATTAAAGTGAGGAGCTCCATACGTTTCCCCTATATTCCATGTGGACAAAAACTGATAATTAGTGTGAAAAAACTCCTGCCCCTAAACTTTTAATGATAATGTGCAAAAAAGCAATTACAACTAGTTAAAATACTTTAAAGTCGACTTATTTCGCATGTTCAGACAATTTTTTCACATAAAAAAGAAGAAATTACGCTATTTACGAGTTTAATATAGAGAAAGTGAATAATTATTATTATTCTGCACATTTTTGAAAAATGTTGGGGGAACAAAAAGCATTTTTTCAATTGTATTATATTGAACAATAAAATAATGAGTTTTTCAACACTAATTATTAGTTTTTGTCACTTCAATAACTCATTATGTTTAAAGCTCTGTAGTTTCTCATTAATTAAAAATATGGCGAAGCTGTTTTGTATCCGCACAGACGGAAGTCGATGGAATAGTTTATTGCCAAGGGGATGGGGAAATACTGAGGCCATATAAAATAATAAAAATGATATAATTAACATTGAATACCACGGGTTTTAAGTATCGTGGTAGATGCGAATAAACGACTAATATTTGGCCGTCGAATTAACAATAATTAGATTGAAGTGTAAAAAAGACGAATTATCCCGAACAAGTTTGAGTGATAGCTTATCAATGTAAAATGCCTCATGGGTGGTATATATAATATGTAATAAATGTGAAATTACGAGAAATTAAATGGGGGGGATGCGGAATCTAAGAATAAAAAATTTGAAGAAAACAAGAAAAGATAGAAAATGGGAGAAAAAAAAATACAGTGTATCGTAAAATAGTCAATTTTTCGTGGGCGCTTGATGGATAAAATGAATGAAATTAATAAAAATGAATGAAAATCGTTGCCGGAACGACGAAATACCGAAACGAATGAATTTACGTAATTAAAATTGATGATAAATCGGTACAATTGTCACATGAATTAATAATTACCAATGAATTACGAATGAATTTGTTAATTGGCACCAGTAAGGTCAGGATGACGAAGAGGTGATTGAAACATAACGAAAGAAACAAATCAATTTACTCGTGGGAATACGCATTACAATTATTATTGATTATTTACTATTATAATTTCTTTTTTTTTTACAATAAATAGGCATGAAGACAGGAGAAATAAAACGGGAATGTGAGATAAGAAATATCGCCTGAGCCCAAATAAATAGGATTAGGAGACGATGCGCGATTGATTCTCAAAATAATACAGCCTAGAACTTTAATACTAGTTGACCATAAGCAAGTAAAAAAAAATAAAATCACGAGAATGAAATATTATGGCCAGATGAATTGAACAATTTGCGTTTTTAGGTTTTTTATAATGTTTACCGAAGTGTTTTTTGATCTTTCAGAACGTCTAGACTAGCGTGAGTGTGTGCGAGAATTCAGTGAACATGATTGCACGGTGATTATTGTCATAGAACACGGGAAGACAGTAAAATGGGGGGATAGTAGGAAAAAAATGCAATGATTGAATAGTAATACAAAGGGGTAAATTGTTCGCGGCTGTTATTTTTGTATGGTCCCCCAACACGGGTCCCGTCTCAAATAAGTATATACATAATACATAAAAGAAAGTTGAATGAAATGAGAAATGAAGATGATGCAAAACATACACACACTTATGAACGTTCGCTGTCTGGAGGAAGAATAAATCAATGAAAACAAATTACATCAAGTCAGAGTAGCCAAATTAATTATTATTACTGGTGTGTGCATTGATATCCGTCTTGAGGGAGGATGGAGATACAGGTTATTGATGGGAGAACGTACGTTTTATGTTTTTTTTCTCTGTCGCATGTAATTTTGCGGTTGAACGCGATTATTCCTGACAATGAATGTGTTTCTTTTGTACAGCGGATATTGTGATTCCCCAATGATGGAAATAATAACGAAATGAAGAAATTAATGGAGCTGTTTGTTTTGATTTTATTTCCTTTGTTTTTTAAATTCACTGAAGAGTATGGGCTTTGCAAGTGGTTTTGTTCTATTTTTCTTTGTTATTCCTGCATTTTGGGTGACATTGTGTTCAATTATGATATCAATTCCAAGGTATTGGATGAGGAATTTTTACATTTTGTGAAATTTGTAAAACAGAAAGAACTTACGAATTTTCGGTTTCAAGCACGCAAAATATCCTTCATTTTTCGGACTACTATTTCTATATTTCTAATTCATCAATTTTAAGTCTGGAAATACTGGGAAAATTTTGGATCTCAAACTCGTTTTTTCTCTTTTTCTTTATTTAAAAAATATTTTTCATTTTTGGTTCATTATTTCTACATTTTTATATACATTATGGTCAATGATGATAGTAATTCTAGAGTATTGGATGATAAATATTTACAATTTGTGCAGTCTCTTGGGTTATCAGTACAAATACAAGACCTATTCTTCCTTCACTTGAATGTTTTCCATAGGAAAATATTGATGAAGACTAGAAGTTTTTGGATTCTTCGTGTTTTATCTTTGGGAATGATTCGAAAAGACTTCAGGATTTTTTAAGCGCAACCGGTGAGTCCAGCTGGAAGACTGTCGCAGACCTCGCGCAATGGCCGTCCTCGCACTTTTTCCACGGTATTGCTGATGACCAAGTTGTTCTTGTAACGTCTTTTTTGAGTGCTGTAGTGAGGGATTGAAATTTCGAAGGGGGTTTTGCCATTTTCCACTGCCCAAATGCTGCCGGTGTCACCGCATTTGAGGATTGACATCAAGCCCTCGGATACGATAAAGGGTCTGGGGAAAATACCGAACAATTGGTGATTTATTCAGGAGAATAAGAAACAGAGAGAATTCCGTAGAGATAGAATGAGAAAAATTATTTTATTGAGTAAAATAATTTATGCAAAAAGAGGAGAGAATTTTTTTTTGTTTTCAAAACGAATGAAAAAATATTTTTTAATTATGAATTCAACAGAATAAACTCACTGGTTTAAAATGTTTAGATAAATTTAAAAAAATATAGATTCAGGAATTTGCATTTACTCACGTTTGAATGGGCATTTGCTCAAGATTTTTAACAAAATCAGCCTTCATAAATTTCGATAAAAGCCGATTGGGACTGTCAACAGTGAGGGCTGTCTCGGTGAGTCCGGGGCAGAGAGCCATCACACGCACACCAGTTCTCTCGTAATGATAAGGCGCCTGTGACATAGAAATTCTTATCTCTGCTCCAATTTCTTCACAACATCCTAACGGGAAATTCAACTCACCCCGAGTGACTGCGAAAGGCCGATAATTGCGTATTTGGTTGCTGTGTAGACTGGCAGCTGAGCGGTCCATGTGAAGTCGAAGTACTGAGCGATGTTCACGAGGACACCGCCGTTGCCACCTTGATCTTTGCTCATGAAACGCATCGCAAGCGTTGCCACTGTTATCATCCCTCCCTGATTTTTAAATCAAATTGTAAATTTTGCAATGACGAAATTACGCGAAATTCCAGTGAATAAATGTACTGAAATTCACAGTTTTCATTGTTTTTTTTTAAATTAAATTGTGAATTTTTCATTATGGAAGTGTCACTGAGTAAAAATTTAACAATAGCTTTTAATTTGCCCTAAGGAAAATCTCGATAAAATGAACTGAATTCAGTTCTCATTGATTTTTCAAATTAAACTGTCACTTGATAAAAATCTCCAAGAAGTGTACCGAAAATTTCAGCTAGAAACTCTTTACAGTAACACTAACTTCATTCTCCAAAAAAACTTGGATATAAATCTACTCATTTCCCAAGGATTCAAAATTGTTGACCAAAATTTGACTTGACACGACTCGTCTATTTTCCCTAAAATTCGAACTGAAGTAACGATATGGACAGCGATTTCCGGTTCCCACTTCCTCTCATCTAGAATTTTCCGAATTATGAACAATAATATGAAAACGAGTAGTCAGTACTAGATTACGTTGAATTTAATATATTCAAGAATATGTTCGCCTGGGTTTTCGTGATTTCTCGATCAAGCGCTGAGATAAAAAATGTCGATAAAAAGAACCGAAATTCACTGTTTCCATTGATTTTTGACATTAAACTGTCACTTGATAAAAATCTCCAAGAAGTGTACCGAAAAATAATTTTAAAAAAAAGTGAACCGAAAATTTCAGCCAGAAACTCTTGACAGTGACACTAAGTTCACTCTAAAAAAAACTCCATAAAAATTTACTCATCCTCTTAGGATTCAAAATTATTGATAAAAAAAAAGTTGACTTGACTCATCTATTTTCCCCAAAATCCGACTTCAACTTACGATATTGACAGCGATCTCCCGTTCCCATCGCCTCTCATCCAGAATCCCCGCATTATTAACGACAATATCGATGCTATCCACAATCGTCGAGACATATTTGAACGCATCTGATGAAGACGAAACAAAAATTATTCAATTGCTTGCACGAAAGTAATTGAAGAGAGTATAAACAGGAGGGGGAGATTACCGAGGACTTGGGAGTAGTTTGATGTGTCTGCATGGAGAAAGATAATTTTTCTCCCCCCATAGGACTTGGCAACAGCCTTGACAGCCCGTTCACCAGCGGCGGCATCAATATCAATGATAACAACGGTTTTAGCTCCATTCTGAAGAAAATGATTGACGAATGCGTATCCTAATCCCGCTGCACCACCAGTGATTACCACGTTCTTTCCACAGACTAGACCTTTAATTATCTCGAGTTCTTTTGCTTTCTCCTCGGCTGAGGCACGACGGCTCTTGGTGATCAGAGATTCTGGAGGCAATTGAATTAATAAATTGAGTATTGAATCGATTGATTAATTTAAAACGATGCGTCACGTTTTATTTTATTTACTGTAAGTTTCTTTGACCTCGAAATGTCATAGAAAAACCTAGGGAATTGGATAGAAAATTCTACCGAAGAATTCCGCGGCTCTACTGCGCATTTTTTGAAATAGTAAATGTCCGATAGGAATTATTCTCTAGAAAAAAAAACTGTTTCTATTAAGACGTGTTCTACAGGACTTCCTCGACATAAATTTTCTCCCCTATGGAAAAGTTGAGAAGAGGAATTCTATGGATTTTTTCTGAAGAATATTTTCCGTTGAACATTTTTATTTAAAAAATCGCACGGATAAGCCGCGAATTTTTTTAAAAGAATCGGCTAATAACGGATAGAGAATTTAATAGAAATTCAATAGATTGTATTCTAGAATTTTTTGATTTTTTTATAGAAAATAATTTTTCATAGAAAATATCCAATGGAAACTTTTTTATAGTAAAATATACAATGTGTTTTATAAGAGAAAAAGGAATTGACACATATTTCAATGGAATGGGCCGAATACTAATAGAAAGTTCGAGAGAAATCCAATAGAATTCACTAGCAAATTCGTTTGATTTTTTTATGAAGTTTTTCCGCACGCACCGGTGAATGAAATGGGTCCACTTACCCATTGCAATAATTTGTGTAGCTTTTGGAAGCACTTGACGATAGGAAGAACCTCTCGAAAATGTCGATTGAGACTAAACCCGTCGACTGCTTTCGATGGTATTTATACTTGTTCATCGAGTGATTTGACACTTGTACACGCGCCACCGCGTGGCCAGCCCCTTCCTCTCGGCGAAGACGCGTGATTACTATCGGGTAAGTGCGCGTGCATCCAAGAAGAGGGGAGGGTCATCCCAGGGATCCAGACTATTCGTAGAACAAAGTCTCTGATAAAGAGTTGTCGGAATCATAATAATAATTATAGCATTGTGTGAAAAATTTGCAGCTTGTAAGTGCGAAAAAATCCGATAGAAATGTTCATCATTTCTGAAATTTCTAAATTCTCCTGATATTTCCTCCTGAAGCTAATGGGCCCTGAGAGAAATCCCCAAACACCAAAAATATAAAAGTCAATTTATCACGCAATGAAAAAAAAAATATATAAAATAAACAGAATTTCCTAGGGAACGCGCAAGGTTTTTCTATGAAATTCTCGATATTCTTGATATTTCTAAATTTTCCTGATATTTCCTGAAGCCACTGGGCCCCGAGATAAATCCCCTATTACCAAAAATATAAAATTCAATTTATCACTCAAACAAAAGTAAATAGAAAATAAATAGAATTGCCTAAGAAATGCGCAAGGTTTTTCTATGAAATTCTCGATATTTCTAATATTTTTAAATTCCCTGAAGCTACTGGGGTCCGAGATAAATCCCCTATTAACAAAAATATGGAATTCAATTTATCACTCAAACAAAAGTAAATAGAAAATAAACAGAATTTCCTAGCAAATGCGCAAGGTTTTTCTACGAAATGCTTGATATTACTGATATTTTTTAATTCCCCCGATATTTCTTCCTGAAGCTACTGGGCCCCGAGACAAATGCTCAATCACCCAAAATATAAAATTCAATTTATCACTCAAATAAAAAATAAATAAATATAAACAGAATTTATGAAATTCTCGATATTCCTGATAATTTTAAATTCCCCCGATATTTCTTCCTGAAGCTACTGGGCCCCGAGATAAATCCCCTATTACCAAAAATATAAAATTCAATTAATCCCCCAATGCTTTCCTTACTGAATAATTACAACTGCTCCGCGCTATTTTCATTGCATTCAAAGTTCACTCTAGAACCGTTCGCAACCGGTTACCGAGAGCCAGCGATAAACCCTCCGACGCTTCTCGATGCACCCGAGGCAACCCCTCACACCCTCCAATCATTACTGCCAGAGAGCGTTAACAAAAATGCGTAAGAAAGAGATAAACGTCACGGTCTTATCGCCACGCGACTTTCCCCACAATGCATAGCAGTATTCGAGATCACTGAGGGTCACTCCATCCCCATTTTTCTGGTTTCAAGGCCTCGCTGAGTGCAGTCCACAGTGATTTAGTTGAAAAATTATTATTGATAAATTTCTGAGTACAGGGATTTTTACCGGGGACCCCCTAAATCCGCGAAAAGGTCAGCAATCACGTTATTATCCCAGGGTTATCGGGGGTTGACGATTTTTATGAAAGACGCAGATAAGTTCAGTGGGAATTTCAAGCATTAAATCTAGTCGTCTTGATGCGACTGTGGCGCAGCGCAAGAAGAATACAGATACAGTCTCTTCTTCTCTTTTGGGAAGCAATCGGATCGCGCTATCAACTCCACACAGCCTTTTCGGTTCTCTTTTCTTCTGATTAGGATTGACTGCGAAATTAACGGGAAATTGTCGTCTGCGACGATGAGTCAACAGAAATAAATAAACTGGGTCTGAAGTACATTTAAACAAGCTTTATTTATACGGATCTCCATGTTCGGTAGATTGTAGTTTATGTAATGTTTATTTCTGCGGCGAGAATGGCCCAGAAGGTCGGCAATTCCAGACTGAATTAATTAAATTTTGTTAATGGAGAAAAAGTCTTCTGGGATAGGGTTAGGACATTCGGGGGGTGGATCTCACAGATTGCGGCGCAGCGCAAGAAGAATCCAGATACAGTCCCTTTTTCTCTTTTGGGAAGCAATCGGATCGCGCTATCAACTCCACACGGCCTTTTCGGTTCTCTTTTTTCCTGATTAGGATTGACTGCGAAATTAACGGGAAATTGTCGTCTGTGACGATGAGTCAACTAAGATAAATAAACTGAGTCTGAAGTACATGTAAACAAGTTTTATTTATACGGATTTCAATGTTCGATACATTGTGGTTCATATAATATTCATTTCCCGGCGAGAACGACTCAGGAGGTCGGGAATTCCAGACATGAGTGGAGTACTGACTTTATTCTTTATTAATTAAAGTTTGTTAATGGAGAAGAGGTCCAGGAGGTTTCGGACGATCGGGTTGGTCGAGTAACCCTAGTCTGCTCACCTCCGCGGGGATTCCCCGCCGTGTTATTTAGGCTCCGGCGTTGCCGAATTCACTTTACACTGGCCGAGCGCGTTTAGCGAGTTTCCAGCAACGCCGCGTCATGGGCAATTACATGGGAAAAAAATAATTCATTTTGAATAAAAACTCATGATTCCTGTGGTCATGAATAATGAAATTGCAGGAATGTATTTTGGAAACATGTACGATGCGATAAATCAAGTATTTGGATTCTTAGCATATTGTCCTTGGTCGTCATTCTCCATTGAAATGTGTCTCATAAGCCTCTGTACAAATGACAATTTTAATTTTTTTCTCTACAAAAATCAATGTGGTAAATCGTGTTGGGACCTTCGGGACAACTTTCTAATTTATTGAAAGAATATATTCTCAAAATTTCAACCCAGTAGCACATTTCCTTCTACACCCATATGACTACTGCGGAAGTACCTTAACACGGGAAAAAATAATTCATCTCTTCGAAATAATTTGTTTTCTGTAGGAATTGGGGGAAATATTTTCTTCTAAAAACTACTATAATTCTTTAGACACTTCAATTGACAAAGTTAATTTTTTTTTAATTTTTCCGGTTAGCCAGTCAATTGTAATCAAAGAGAAATGACGCACGGCGGGATTTCGCTCATATGGTGACCAATCTACGCTTAATTGCATCGTTAGGCGAGAGTCTCGAAGTCGGATAGATCGGTTTCGTTCTGCTTCTGGGGCAGGACATCCGGGGGCTGGATCTCATAGACTGGTTGACCATCCTCACTCACCCAAATGCTGCCGTTCTGGGCACAACGAATTGCGTAAACTAAACCGTGAGCCACTGTCTCCACCCTTGGGGATATTAACAAAATTTAAGTGCAAGTTCGTACGATTTAGCCTTCTTCATCACTTAGAAATTAATATTAATGCCTGTATTTGTTTATCCCTAAAAAACAATTACCTGATGTGAATTTAACTGCAGATAAAAATCGAGTTTATGTTTGACAAACGCTTTATTACGAGTGATTGAATGAACCGATTCACTCAAATCTAATGAAGTTTATTAAATTCAAAATAGATCATTTCTTCAAGTCTGTGAGTGTTTCGTTATGTAATTGGTTAATACCTCTGTGGGTGGACTGTTACGGGTCCAAGGGCTCCCGCTGGTGCCTCTAGGGTCTCCAGGCTCTCTCGCAGTGACGATCCTGAGACACCAGGACTGAGGACGATTATCTTCACTCCAGTTCTTTGGTAGTGATAAGGTTGCTGGAAACATGTCGGTGAGAGGGTGGTGATAAAACGGGAACGAAATTGTTTGTGCATTTAATCAACTATTCTAGTCATTGTTTTATCAAAGGTGAATCGTGAAATTTTTGTACTGAATGCAATCATCTTTATCATGATATATTTCTGTATTAAAAAATAGGTGAAATCAGTAGCGAATTGGTAAAAGGACAAGTCAATTTTGACTATTGACCAGTTTTCGATCGATATTTCGGAATCTAAGGGAGATAGCGAAATTTTCGTAATTACATTTGTTGTAGCACTCAATCGACTCCACAAGAAAGGTTGTAACAAAAATTTCGCCATTTCCCTTAGATTCCGAGATATTGATTGAAAACCGGTCTATAGTCAAAATTGACTTCCTTTTACCACTTCGCTACTGAAATGTTTTCTGTCGCCGATGTATTTTGCCAAGTGATGTTATGTTTATATTTAAAAAATACTGTGATACTGTAATATCATAGTATCCAGTAATATAGTATAAAAGATGCCATTCTTTCTCGTCCCCTTGACTTTTACGACAATTTTATAAAAAAAAATTTTGGTCACTCAGTTCGTAATACTTCGTTTCTCGCACGCTGCGCATCCTAAAAAGCCGCAAATGAACGTCGTAACAAAACATATGCCTTGTCACTGTGTCGGAAATTTTTTTTCTGGCGAAGACGCTAAAATTCTTTTTTTTTTTTAATTTTCTTCGCCGCAGTAACGAAAAATACAATTTTTTTTAATCCACATGGGGGAGGGGAGGGGGGGGTCGTAGATTCTGCAATTCGAAACCTTGCTTACAAATTTCAGACGGATTAGAAAACCAATGAATCAATGATACAAAAATGATTAAATTTCGATAATCATCCGTATAACGCTCTCAAATGGTGAACATTTGCAGAAAGCGGAGACCTTTGTGTTTATCTGTCTTTGAGGGTGTAAAAATAAAAAAAAACGCGTAACGCAATGTTGAAATGCCTTCTTCATAAAAAAACTAATAATCACTTCGGAGAATTGCAGAAGAACTCACGGCTAAAGATCTGCTGAAGCTGATAACCGCCTGTTTTGTGGTAGAATAAATCGGTAATTGGGGTAGCGGTTCAAATCCCAGAACCGAAGCGACATTAACAACAATTCCACCCTTCCCCCCGAGATCCTTTCCCATCTGCTGGATGCCGAGAAGAGTTCCTCGAATGACGGCGGTCTGATAAGAATCGGAATGACAAAAAGAATGAGCAGTTTTTTCACAAATGACTGATAAGTAGATGAAGAAAATGAAATCGATTATCTCACGACGTTGACGTCCACTGCTTTCATAATGTCAGACTCATTTATGAGATCAACATTATTGATGAGAATGTCAAGTCCTCCAAGAGTGCTAACAGCTTCTTTGAAAGCGGCTGCAAAACATTTCCGAGAATTATGAAATTTTCAATTTCATTTTTAAGTCAGTGGGGGCATGTCAATATTACGTCACACCATTTTTTTCATTTTTAATTAACCAAATCAAATTAAACGAAAAAAAAGCAAATTATATATAATAATTAATATAACTAATATATTAATATATTATATTATAATTTAGAAAAATCTCAGTTATGAAAATATAAATTATTTATAAATTTATAAAAATTTATAAAAATAATTTAGTTATTTTCAGTCAAATTTTAAACGAACAATAAAAGAAGGGGGTTGTGAATCTTGTGACGTAATATTTCAATGGCCCCAAGAGTTGAAGTCTTCACCATCCAATTCGTTTTTCGAGATGTCACAGGGAAGCCAGATGACTCTTTTCTGTCCAAACTCTTGGTTTATTTCCTCCACAGCATTTTTAGCCGCTATTTGTTGATCATCCAGTATGATAATGCTCTATAAGATGATTTTAATGGATGGAATCAGTTGTAAACAAGTGGAATAAGAAAAATCGAGATTCATCGCTAGACAATTCTATAGGATTTCTATTAAAATTCCACGACTTTCTAGCTTTTTTTAAATCGATATTTATGAAGGGAAATATTTCATACATAAAATCAATAGACTTTGATCTATCTATTCAAATTATTCCATTAAGACGTTTCCTATAGAAATTCCTCTGCATGAATTTTCCATGTTTTTGTCACTGAATTTTTCTCTAAAAAAAAATCATCAGAATAAGTTCTATAAAAATATAAAATTCTATTGATTTTTCTATACAATATTTTCTATCGAACATTTCTATTTAAGAACCCCTAAAAAACTGCTAAATTTGTTAATAGAAGACGTTTCAAAAAAATCCAATATGAATCCAATAGAATTTTCATTCCAATATTCTTTAAAAACCTGAGTCGAAGTCTAGTGGACTTATCTCAGTTCAGCACACGTCATTGCATGACGTCCGTTGATGTTTTCAATTGCAGATAAAATAATGCAAATGATTTTAACTTACTCCGGCTCCATTTCTGAGTAATTCACGACAGAATGCAATGCCCAATCGGTTCACTGGACCAATAATAATCGCCTTTTTGTCCTTAATCTGCATGATTTTCAATGTTATCACTCGGATCGACGAAAAATTCCGATTCAACGTGATGCCACGCGCGTCTCACTCGTTCACTCAACACTTGTGTACTGATATCTGCCCCAGCCTTAGTGTTTTTGAGCGAATGAACCCCTTGACCCATTCCTCCCTTCATTCTTTCTCGAATCGATGATTATTTTCATATTGTAAACTTATTCTCAATCGTGTAAAATACTTGCGATTCAACTATTCCATCGTTTCTTCAATTTTGGTGATGTGGGAAGTTGATTTTAGTTGATTAATTAAACCAATTAATTAATCAATCAGTCGATAATAAATAATAATCACCCAGCCTTGTGCAATTTAACAGTTTATTTAAAATGTCTCATTACAAATTACGATTTTCATGAAAGAAAATGAATGAAATAACGAAAATTTCACAATTATAACAATAGAAAAAAATTTCAAAGGATCGAGATCCTCGAGATTTTATAAATCATCCACAGAAATAAACATGTTCCAATGTTTTACCTCATAAACAAAATAAAAACACTTTTGTTCCATCCAATAAACATCTAAAAACAATAAATAAATGACTAAAATAATATTACACGATGTTGTTTCGTTAATCAATATTTCTCTTATAAAGTTTCTCTCTATTACAATGAATAATCTAACTCTATCAGGTAAAATTGCATATTATATAGTTATCTTAGTGTCCAACTGATGGATCGAGGAACGAGCTAAACGTGAATTCAACACGTGAGCCGTTCTGAACAGCCACGTTCTATCATTTCTTCACCTGCAATAAGTCAACATTTTTTCTTTCCACCTCTTCTCTGTTAATCTGGAGGGAACAACAATTGTTCAATTATCCACAGGAAACTAAAAATTGAGCAATGTCAATTACAAGAAATTACGATAATTCGAAAGAATAAAAGGGCGTCTAAATTGTTGTAAATAAATCTAAATTCGAAATACAAATGTACAAATAATTCATTAACATCTTATCAAGTTCGATCGAATGACTAATGATCAACTCTACGGAAAATTGGAAGCAATTCCACTGATTTACATCATTTTTCAGGTGTAAAAATAGAATCTAATTTTTGTTTTTGTTCGCCAAGGTTCGAGGAGCAACTGAATCGAATGAGAAAGCAATTCTGATTCTATAAATCTCATGTTCAATGCTCATTTCAGCTGGAAATATTCCTTCAAGTATAATCCTATAAGGAAGCTTTGGGGCTTTAGTTTCAACGGATCTATCATTGAACATTACCTCCTATTACAAATATTTGCCTGAATTTATCCTCTATTCACCGTTTTATTTTAAACAATGGACAAAATTTATTGTCTATTATATGTTGTTGCCCTAGAACAATCGCAAATCGGGAATTTATTTGGTTTTCGTTACGCTGTTGACTCTTTTTCATTACGTATAAAAAATCGAGACCGAGCTGAACTCGTGCATTACATGTATCAGTATCATCAATTATCCTCATTAACTATAAACATAAATAAAATTCAGTAGAGAGAGGGAAAAACGAAATTCCATCACTGGGGAAAAAAAATACATTTTTTTAAAGTGATTCTTCTTCGAGATGATTGAACAATCAGCAAAAATCATTGAACTGTAATTGTTTAATCATTAGGTTTCACCCTTTCACTAGTGAATTCTCTTCATTGAGAGGAGGAACAAAAAAATCCCACTCTGACACCTGCCAAGATAAAAAATTGTTCCATCTGAACATACAAAATTTTCAAATATCAATAATCCCTCTGCTTTCGACAATGAAATACTTCAGGATGAGAATATTTCACATGAGCTGAAGCTAGATGAATAATATTTCGTTCCTAAGTAACAGGATTACTATCACATTGTCATTATTATTTTATACTCCTGACAATTTTCAATAGGTGATCTTTTTTTTTCTCTCACTGTTGAAAGAAAAAAAACCCTCGAATTCCCACTCGAAAACCACCCCTCGGCTAATTTTCACTCATTCGGGCTCATGTGCGTATTGAATTTCCTATTAATAACACCCTCATCACCTAAAATCACTGTATATCTGAAATCTTGAATTGCTCAACGCCCACCTTATCCCCTACTACTGTAATTCGTATTTCTCTCTCATTATAAACTATTACTGCATGAATTGGTGTTAATTGATTGCAATTTGCAAGTCTTAAACTTGAAAATTCACCGAAAAAATTGTATCCTCCCTCAATTCTCACCCCCTGATGATCATCGATCCACGAGACATTTAATTACTGGCGACTAAACACTCATTGGTCCAGCAAGAAACTTAGTAAGATACTGCAACAAGCTTAATCCCTAACATGGCAATAAGACCTCCCATTCGTTCCCAAGATTATCATGATTTTAGTGCATCTTTGTGTCATCAATAAGAATATCCTCATTGAATAATTAATTTGGTGTATCCATTATATACAATTACTCCGAATTTCCACCTTGATCGAGACAATCGCGATCATTCAGAATAGGAATAAACTGAAAGCTCAGTTGAGAAAATTAATTTTACGAAAATACTGTACTGGCTAACTCAGTCGAAAATCGATAAATTTACTAATTCATTTGGCCTGAAAACTAATTAGCTCATCACTTGAGCAGTTTACCTGCACTCGCCTAAACGATAAAATACAAGGCGCACTTCAGCGCTGACACAGCATCTTCTTGACAGAATTAACTATTAGAAACAATGGAGTCTCTTTATTTGTTGGCACATTCGATATTTTGCATTCACACTTTGTCTACAGAAATTTTAATTCAATTTATTGTGCACGAAAAATGAAGGGACTCCGTTGTGTGCAATAGTTAATCTTGTCGAGAAAATACTGTCTCACTGAAATTATACCAACCAAAAATATGAAAAATGTTTAGAAACTTCTACGTGTCTTTCAAACCCTCAGGGTTGAAAAAATATTGTACAATCCTATGACTATTCACAATAAATTCTGTCAACAGGGACTGCCTGACCCCCGAAAAGAATGTCATCCAAGCGAATGTTGCCCAGAAATTACAAAAATCCCCTTTGATTGAACTGCTCGCGAAGAAACGTTGTGGCAAAAACGTTTCTGACACGCGAGGCTGTCAGCACAGCATCTTCTCGGTAAAATGATCTATTACACATAATAGTCCCTTCATTTCTTGACACATTCGATATTTTGCATTAAGACTTCTACAGAAATTGTAATTCAATTTATTGTGCACAATTCAACACGTGTCAAAGAATGAAGGGACTCCGTTGTGTGCAATGAGTAATCTTGTCGACAAAAATACTGTCTCACTGAAATTATACCAACCAAAAATATGAAAAATGTTTAGAAACCTCTACGTGTCTTTCAAACCCTCAGGGTTGAAAAAATATTATACAATCCTATGACTATTCACAATAAATTCTGTCAACAGGGACTGCCTGACCCCCGAAAAGAATGTCATCCAAGCGAATGTTGCCCAGAAATTACAAAAATCCCCTTTGATTGAACTGCTGGCGAATAAACATTTTGGTAAAAACATTTCTAACACACGAGGCTGTCTACCTAGTGTGTTAGACGCCTATTTCATATCTCCTGACTATTGACAGACTGAGAGCTGCGAGATGTCTTGCGACTGACTGGCTCTAGATAGGCAGCTGGTGCCCAGCCCTCGATTCCAGTGCCAATGAGTTTGACGAACCACCAGCCAGCACAGCCTACCTTGAGCAGCTCCAGGTGATCTCCCTCTCTCATGGTCACCTCTGACTGTCCCACAGCGCAGTAATCAGCCAGTGCGACGTATCTACCACCCGGCGCAGGCCCTGGATTCTCGGAAAAGGCATCCTCTTCGTCTGTGTTACTGTTTTCAGAGCTCCAGGCCACGTCCTCTTCGGTGGACTGGGACACATCCGTTATGTGGGATATCACACTGTTTCCATCCACTGAGAGCGTCCTCAGGGAGCCTGATACACTGGACTGAGCCTCCCAGGATATTGTTTGCCGGAGAGGTCTGGAGAATTATGAAATAATGTTTTTACTGGTGTTTTTGTGATTATGGATTGACGTGGCAAAACTTGAAAAGTCGCACGTTACGTACACTGTTAAAAAATATTTGCAAAAATTTCTGGAGATTATCTATCACGTAAGAATTCCACTGGAATTTCAGAGAATTTCGTCACTGAAAATTCACAATTTGACGAAAATGTCAGTGAAAACTGTTAATTCCAGGTCAATCGTTTTATAAAAATTAATAAAAATCAGGGAGATTCAAGAAAATATTCTTGAATTTTTTATTAATTGAAATTCTTTGATTTTTTCCCCTTTAATCGAATTCAATTCGATTTTTTTCTTGAAATACCTTGACATGTCTTTCGATATTTTATTGTAAAATTTTTAATAAAAGAGATAGGGACTTGTTACGTGTGACCACTTCAACAGTTCGACGAGGTTTCAGAAGAGTATTAAAGAAAAATCGAATCTTACGCGTACTTATGATTCGATTTAGCCAATGCTGTATTCTGTTTCCCTTTTAATTCCGCTAATTGTGACATAAGAACACCTTTGATCTGTCGCACCCAGGACTGCTTGACGTCCAGGCTCGGTGCCTGTATCGTGTGGACCTCTTGTCTACCTTGAAGCCATATCTCGAACCTTCTCGTGTCGCCTTTGACAGACTCAGTCAGGCCTATTTGAGACATCTGTACAAAATCGAGGGAAATCATGTATTTCATAAAATGTTGATGGAGGCAATATGTAAATGCTTGGCTGGAGGTTCTTGGGCGACAGCCAGATGCTACCAATATCATTGAAGAACAAATAAATCGAACGACAAAATTTCATTGAAAAACGTAGTGCATTCGCAAGCAAATTGTATTGAATTTCTATCAACTTTTTCTTTTTCTTTCCAGTCGATTTCGTCTATTGATCAGTCTTCAATGAATATTCCAGAATCCAAGACGGATATCAAAATTTTTGTTATAATCTTTTTTGTGGAGCAAATTGAGAGCTGCGAAAAGTTCAATTCGGAAAAACAATATTTTTACAACAAATGACATTAAACGACTGACTGCTGGGAAATTTTCGAAATAAATCTCATTTTATGTTTTTTTTTGGCCCTGAAGTAAATCATTGGGTTATGAAAATATGTAATAGAAACTATTCATAGAGGTGAATTCACCGGAGTAAATTATGTAGAACAAGAAAGTCACCTTGAGATAACGCTTGAAGTGATAAGTAGCTTTGTTATGGGCCTGCGGTTTGCTATGTTTACAAAATATCATGGCCTTCTCATACAGGAATATGTGTCGTTGCGAGGGCTTGAGTCTGAGTAGACGCTCACGTTTGCTACTACTCCATACGCTGAAGGATCCTTGAAGTAGAAGTTCTCCTTGGGCTGTTAAATCTCCCTACAATGCATAACAATTTATCAAAAATGATGAGAAGGATTAATAAGTTGTCAAATTTTCAATTAATTCATCAATTAATAATTGAGGTAGTAGGTATGAAAGTAAGGCCTATTTACTTAACGACTAATCGACAACTTCAATTATTAACTATTTCATTAATTTATAAAACGGTTCAAGTAGATTTTCACTATTAGCCAGTTTTCAATGAATATCTCGGAATCCAAGGGAGCTAGAAAAATCGTCGTCATGACCTTTTTTGTAGCCCTCACTTTGCCCTTCAAAAAAAGTTATTACGAAAATTTCGCTATCTCCCTTAGATTCGCAGATATTCCTCGAAAACTCCGATAACCGCCGAGTCAAACTGAACCGTTCTACTCCTTCCCTACTGAATTTCCAATTTCCAAATAAGATCAATAAAATTTAGTCAGTAAAATTCAATTTCTGAACAACTTCATTCATTACAACTAAAAAGTAATCTTGCTAGTGATCCATGAACGGAAGTAATAAATCAACATCCCAATGACATACCCCAAATCCAGTGATTGCAGTCTGATGCATGCTATCATTAACGCACTTGAGTACAACAAGCATGCAATCCAACGCCTCCTGTAATTCCGTACAGCAGGCAGGCTCATCGCTGTACTTGAGCAGATCCTTAAGCAAAAGTTGATACTTGGTAATTCTTTGAACTGGTTTGAGGAGATAAGCAGCGAGTGGCAGTTTGTGGCCCAGTTTTTGTTGACAGGCAGCGAGAAATTGGGGCTCGCCCTGAATCTGCTCACGCAGTCTCTCTGATCTGGGTATATTTTGACAGTAGTAACTGTAGAGGCGGAAAAATATCTCGCGTCTCTGGACGAAGCACAGGGCTACGAGTTCTGTGTTTGAGATGCAGTTCTCCAGGTCACGGAGAAATGTCTCGCCGTGAAAGTGGTAGATCTCCTCGAGATTGCCGAAGAGAATGTCGGCTTTGCCGATGAGAGCCGCGGGGATGAGGTGCATAAGGGCTTCATTGTTCATCTCCAGTTTGTAGCCTTTTATTATTGATCCCAGTTCAGCCACGTAGGCTCTCTCTGTCTCTACCAGTTCGGTTAGAACGTGACCACGTTTTAGGCGAGAGGCTTCAAGGTCTCGGGGCTCACTCTCTGGGGATGATGTGTCTTCGATGGGACCCATCTCCATCTTTAAAATTATTTTCCACCATTATTAATCATAGTGGAGTAATCTAGAGAACTTCGTGTGGACCACATTATTCATCTGGATTTTTTTCAATTAAATCAGTAGGGCGGCGGTAAAACAGTTCAAGACGATTTTTACTATTGACCAGGTTTCAATGAATATCTCGGAATCTGAGAGGTAGCAAAATTGGTCTCATGGCCTTTTTTAGCTCTCGATTTGCCCTGCAAAAAGGCCATTTAACTAAGAGCTAAATTTAGCTAAGGGCTAAGTCGACTTAAACCGTTTTGCCATTTCGCTGCTGAAAATTGTCTATCAAATTGCGGGTGAAACATTTTACAAAATTCTGGAATGATTTTCGTCATTCGAATTACATTTTGAAAGGAATTATTTATTTTTTGCTAAAATTATTCATTTTTTGCTATTAGCACTAGAATTAAACTGTTTCTATTTATGTGACTATGAGACTATCTGATTAATCATTACTTTTCAGGAATTGATTTACTTTGGCATCATATTACGATTGGATATCATTAAAATCAACATTTCGCAATTTCTATCATTGATTTGAAAACATGATATCAATTGATTTTCCAATGAGACATTTTATAAAATGCAAAAAAATCTTTTGACTTTTTTTCACGTTCAGAACTTTTTATCTCAAATTATTACAAATAATTGCTATTAGCACTAGAATGAAACTGTTTCTGTTTGTGTGACTATGAGGTCATCTAATTAATCATTACTTTTTAGGAATTCATTTAGCTTTGGCATTATATTACGTTTGAATATAATTAAAATCAATATTTCGCAACTTCCATCATTCATTTAAAAACATAATATCAATTGATTTTCCAATGAGACATTTTATAAAATGCAAAAAAATCTTTTGACTTTTTTTTCACGTGCAGAATTTTCAACTCAAATAACTGCTATTAGCACTAGAATTCAACCGTTTCTATTTGTGTGACCCTGAGGTTATCTGATTAATTATTCTCGGGAATAGATTTACCTTTGGCATCGTATTAGCTTTCTTCAGTATCCTCCCAGGCTTGATATTCGGTGATGCCTGAAGAGGTTTAGCAGGCTCTGGAGTAACAGTTTGCACTGGCCTAGCCGGTTTCACCAGCTGCTGCTTCAACGTCACAATTCTCTTCTCGCACATTAACGATACATCCTCGATCCTCTGTAGAACCTATCAACAATTACAACCATTATCCCCATCCATCCTTTGTTTCATTCTCCATGTTTTTTCACATTTGTATACCTGAGTCACCAAGGCCTTGGTCTCCGGCATTATAGAGTCTTGAAAGATGCATCTGGGGTGATGGAACTCTTCAGATGCCCCGATCAATTGCTCAAGTTCTTGCAGCGCCTGCTCCGGGGGCATTGTACTGCTCTGCGAGGCCAAGAGTTCAATACCTCGTGTACACCACGCGTTTGCCTGTTTTATGGATTTCATGATCAGTTTATGGTTCATTCAGCACTCATGTTAATTAATTCATTGGCGGCATTTGAGCCCTCGTAGTAATTAATTCATTGACTGATTGCAAATGATGGAGGATGATAAACTCTTGCAGAATGCACGAGTAAATCCCTAAGAAAATTTTCATCAGGATATCTTCCTGTAAATTCTAAAACTCCACGAGAAAAATCCTCATAAATGTTTGAGATATTCATGTGGAAAATGCATCAATGCTCCACAGAATTATTCCACAGAAATTCCTGTAGGACATGCGTTCAGCCGTTTCGTTCGCAATCAATATTGATTAATTTCCGATTAATTGATGCCGATGGAAGAGTGTCATATAGTGAACACTTCTGACTGCTAAAAAATGGTAATTGCTCATTGAATTGTTGATGAACAGAGAGTATTGTCTTTCTTTTAAGGGGAAATTTAATCTTTTCCCTTTGAAACGAGTCTAGAATGAGTGAATTCAATTAATCATGTTGGAAAAAATTCTATGGAAAAGAAAATTCAATTTATTTTTGGCGGGAATTCTATTAGAATTCTACCGGTAATTCCCTTAATTTTTTTAAAATTGCTATTGCAAATTTCGCCGTCCGATTTTTTCAGTAAAAATTCTCGGTCATGCATTTTCCAAATTTATTTTTTTAGGTATTTTCAATAGAAATTCTACAGAAGTTTTGAATTGTTGATGAAGAGAAATTATTATATTTCTTTTGAAGGAAAATTTAATCTTCTCCCTTGAAACGAGTCTAGAATGAGTGAACTCAATTAATCATGTTCGAGAAAATTCAGTGGAAAAGAAAATTCAATTTATTTTCTATAGGAATTCTATCAGAATTCTACTGGTAATTCCTTTCATTTTTTTTTCAAAATTTCTGTTGCAAATTTTGCTATGCGATTTTTTTCATAAAAATTCTCGGGCATGAATTTTCCAAATTCATTTTTCCTAGATAATTTCATCTAGTCCCAATAGAAATTGTCAAGCATTTTCGAACTAAACAATTGGGTTTTTCTATGATTTTCTTTGTACATGAAGAACCTATTTTTTAAAAGTTGAAAACATTTGTTCTACTCCAAAATTCAATCTTCAGTACCTTGTCGATTCTCTCCATCAATTCTCGACATTTCGTGAGTGTATGCAAACGTCGTTCCAGCCTCTGACTCAACATTGTGCAGACCCGTTGCAATTCCGCGCATTTTGGCTCCACCACTTCAGTTGGACACTGGTGCCTCCCCGAGAGCAACTGCTGGCCTGCAGCGATTACCTCCTCAGCTCGATCTATGTCTCCCTACAAATGAATTATTTACTCTACTGTCTCTCCACTTCGACGCTACTTCGTTATTCTGCGGTAAATACTGCTTCTACGGATAATTAAATATTCCTTCAAGCCCATTTATTATTTCTCATCGAGTTAATTCATAAATCAATAAAAATAGTCAAGCATCTGAAATGAAAAATGCATCTGTCTATCTTTCGTGCACAGCAATTTAGTTATAAAAATAAATGTATCTTCGCCATGCCAGCGAATTAAATCCCTATTTATCATATTCTACTGTGAAGACTAATTTTGCATGAATACGCCTTTTTATGCTGTCTGAAGTACGATAATCAATGATCTTCAACAAATTTTCGTTGCTGAAAAGTTTATTTCTGGGAATAGAGATTTAAGTCGAAAGTTGCATCATTTTTTAAACCCAAATATTTTTTTCTGTACAAAGAAATTTTGCATAATTCAATTCAAATCGTAAAATTGCATTTCTGAAATGATTTCTCTGCATTGAAGTCGTAAAGCGTCATGAATCGATTTATCTCGTCTTGGGGATTATGAATTCATCTCCAGGATGTTTAGTTATGAGGAGAAATATCAGATGACTTTTGTCGTCAACTAAAAGAAACATCTCATGAAATTGGTAATCTTTTCTTTATGAGAGGTATTTTCTTATTGAAAAAGCACCGTCTCAAAACTTTCAAATTCAAATAAAACAAGTTTTGTAATTAACAAACATTTGAGACTTGTTTGAGAGCCTGTTCTTCTCTCAGTGCAGTTGCGCAGACTTCGTAATTGAGAAGAACGTCAAACACAGATTTTTATTATTATTTATTAAGAAGGATGAAGTCGTAGAACTCGATAAGTTCTACGACTTCAATCTAAACACTTGATCTCACGGAGTGAGATTGCGTAAATTTTTTTAGTTGAACATAGAAGTCGTACCGAACTTATTGAATTCTACGACTTCAATGCAGATTTCGATAACCATAAAAAATTGAAAAAATTCTATGAGATAATAATATTTATTTTGTTGAATTCGCTGCTTACCAAGACCCAAATCCACATGGTATGCAACAAATAGGACTATCGACAAAAACAAAAGAAAAATGGAAAGCGGTGCAAAAAATGTACAATTCTGTGCATTTTAATGTGCATTGTATGTATCACCGCTCTGTTGTACCAGAACCAGACGATAATTCTTGATGAAATATATCCGATGTCTGGTTTCGGTACGTAATTAATTTCCTGAGAGACTGTTCATTGCATTTTGGCATTTGTTATTCAGGACAGCTTCATTATGAAATAGTATGATTGTCTCGAGATTGTGGAGATGAAGAGTGTGCAGTTTCGGGGATAAAAGAGACAGACGTACCCTGCATATTCGCTGGAAGGAGTTTGTGTCACGTATCAGTTGTTCCACGCGTGACTGGGTCTCACCGACTTCGGTCATTTCATCGATTGTCTTTAGGTGCTGATCGAGATTAGCTTGGAGCTCTCGAAAATCCTGCTCGAATTGACGGAGGGCTAGACAGTGACGCAATCGCGCACTGTGGTGAGACCAAAAGAGGTCAAATGTACGCTCTGTCTCTTCTAATTGCACTAACAGTCTGGGGGAATTAAATGAAAAATGTTAATTGACAAGTTACGATTTGTTAAATCATTTCGAAGAATATGGGATCTTTCAAACTGAATCTCTTCTACTATTCCGCATTGATGGTAGATTTTTTTGTGTGATTTCGACCAGATTCTGTTGATTTTTTTATTTTAGATTAGCGAAGCGGTGAAACGATTCATGTCGACTTGTCCGTTAGCTGAGTTTTCGCGGAATATCTCCAAATCTAAGGGAAACAACAAACTTTCGTGAAGACCTTGTTTAAAATGCAGCAAATAATTCATCATTGGAAGTTACCGGTCTCAACGGAGAATCTCGATCGACTTCGGGACGTACATCAATGTGTTACATTGAGTCTAGCACTTACTGTAGCGTCTCTATTTCTTTCAATAATCAATTAATATTGAGTCTATGTCAATCAATTTTGAGTTAATTACCAAGGTAACAATCTTGGTAATTGTTACCTTGTTATCGAGAGATTATCCAGTGCAGTGCAAAGGCAATTATCAAATTTAAATTGAGACATTCAACGAACAGTGTACCCTTAAAATTTCTAGAGGTACTTTATTAGTGGTGTAAGCCACTAATAAATATCACCAGTATTTTTTTGTAATCCACGTGTTTTCATTTTCACCCTTTCCATAACACTTCCCCCAATCCGCACTAACATTAACGAATTAAGGGCTATAAAAAGGTCATGACAACAATTTTGCTCTCTTAGATTCCGAGACATTAATTGAAAACTGGCCAGTAGTAAAAATCGACTTGAAGCGTTTTACCGCTTCGCTACTGAAATGCATTCGCAGATTTTGTCGCTGATATCTTCGAGAGAAATGGATCTAGAAAAAAATCTCACAGCTTTTCTGTGTATTTTTTTATAGAAATGTTCAAGATAGAATATTTCGTAGAAAAACTTGATAGATTTTGCTGTTTATATGCGAAGTATTATTTTATTGACATATTTTTTGTAGAAATTTTTCGATTTTCCCAGGTCTTCTACTGCATTTTTTTCTTCTCTGATTGAAAATAAAACACCGTGATATTTTTCCGCTCGTCTCTTCTCAATCGATTTCCGTGGAAAAAGTTTTTCGAAATTTTCCCCTGAAATCTCTTGTTTTCAAGATAGATGTGCAATTCAAAAAATATCATATTTCATTCGGATTATACGAACGATGTAAAATTGCTGAATTATTCTACCTTTCAACTGCAGCAACGTTTCCCAACCGATCGGCAGTACCTTTACCGGTCAGTTGTCTGACACTGTCTAAAAGTGCCTCACCGTGTCTCGCGGCACTCAATATCTCCTCTTTCAATTCATTGTACTCAGCCTGCTGCTGACTCAACAGCCTAGTCGTGGCAACCGTATTATTCGGGAATTCAACCTCTGCAAGCCTACGTGTGAACGAGTCCAGTGCCACCGATACGTCTTGGGTCATGGAGGAGAATTTTTCTAAGCTCTGCACAAAACGATTAATGGAATGAGGGGCTGCTCCAGACACGAAAAAATCTCATAGAAAACCCTCGCGAATTCGTTGGAAAATTCTACTAGATTTCTATCGAATTGCTAATAGTTTTTGGCCGATTCTATTAAAGGAATTTCCAGCTCTACTGCACGTTTTTTTTAATAGAAAATGTTCAATTGAAATTATTTTATAGAAAAAATCTGCGGAATTTCATTGAGACATTTTTTATAGGAATTCCTTGACATGGATTTCTTTCACTCTATTTTTCCTTTTTTCCGTAAACAAAACAAATAGAAAACTTGGAAAATTTGAGCCGAGGAATTCTACAGAAAACATTTCAATAGAATAAGTTCTATAAAATAATATAAGTCTGTGGATTCTTTTCTATTTACTAAAACGCGCAGAAAGGCTGTGGAATTTTTAAATAAAAATCTTTCTCTGTTACGTTTTTTCGTGCGTATAGGCAAAATTCCATAGGAAAATCTGGCTAATGAAACCCTATGGGAAATTCTATTAGTTTTTGGCTGCTTCTATTGGCCTATTGAATTCTGCAGAGTTTAGGAACAATAGATTACGAGGGTCAAGAGGGTCAAACTCCCTTACTTGATTATTTGATTAAGTTTATTTCATGTTACAAGGAGGGGTAACGGAGGTGATCTTTGTGTTCCTGCGGCCCCCAGGGACCTTTAAGGTCATAAGGGCCATACGGGTCACAAGGTACAACAAGGAACAATTCTGCAGAGTTACTTTGCGTTTTTTAAAAGAAAATATCCAATAGAATTTCATTGAAAAAATCAATAGAACTCTCTATACACTTTTTTCTACTGAGATATTATGTATAGAAACTCCTCGACACGAATTTTCCAAGTTTTTAACTCAATTTTTCTTCTCATCTCATTGAAAAAATCAAGCAAAAAAAACTGCGAAAATTTGAGCCGCAGAATTTTTGCAGAAAATATCTCAATTAAATAAGTTGTCTCGAAAAATCAAATTCTTTGTTTCTATGCAGCGCAGATAAGCGGCGCCATGGTTGAACGGAATGGACCAAAAATTAATGGAAATTTCGATCGAAATCGAACAGAATTTCTTCGCAAGCTCGCTAGGCTTTTCTATGAAGTTTTCCCATACGTAGCCCCTCGAATGAAACTACCCAACAAAATGAAAACACAACTCGTCTCCTGACTCAGCTTACAATTCGATTTTGTATCCAGGTATGATGGCAGTACGGTAAATCCCCACCGAGTTGCTCAGTCAATTGATCCTTGTCGATAAAGTCATGGAGTTCATTCACATTCGCCAGGACAATCACACGGAACTTGAAGTCCTCGCGAAAGAGCTTGTTCGATACCTCGGATATAGCCTTCTGGAGGAAGCCGACAGGCCGAAGAACGTACGCCACGTGCACGAGACCGGGAAAATAAGCCTGTAAACCATTAAATTCCGGCCGTAAAAAACCCCTCGGAACCACCAGCCACCATAAATTTTGATGACAAACTCACTGAGATCTTAAGTAACACTGTCTTGACCGAATTCCACTTGTCAGTCCTACGGTCGATTATCAAATGAAACCCGAGATCTGCTTCTTGTAATCTATGAATGAATTCATGAATATTTAAGCTCATTATGGAACTCAATTCACGCATATTCAGTTACTATGTCATTCGGTTGTGGAACGGTGAAAGGAGATAATTCGAGAACTAATCGCATTAGTCTACGAATGTCTTCGGGAGGAAGGGGTTTTGAGGAATTTATCGAGGGGCCTCTTCTCAATTCTTTATTTTCAACGATATTTGCTGATATTTTCGTGGTTGAGGAGGTGAAAATTCATGAATAAAAACAGATCCTCACATTCTTCCACAAATTCTGAATGTGAATAAATTTGTTACGATTTCGAACAAATGATTTTCATGGCGGGAAATTGATTGTTCATCAATTATTTATAGAAAATGCTCGTAGTTTTCAAACATTGCAATTTTTAGATTATTTCATCAATCTTTCTCTGAAAGTAAATTTTCTAATATTTTTTCATATTTTTAAAACGTTTTTTAACCTTAGTCTGGTCACCAAACGTGACCCAGCGACTCTGGTCACCGCCGCGGGGATTCCCCGCCGTGTTATTTAGGCTCTAGCGTTGTCGAATTCACTCTATACCGCTCGGACGCGTTTAGCGAGGTTCCGACAACGTCGCGTGATGGACAATTTCATTTGGCGTGGGAAAAAATAATTCATCTGTTCGAAATAATTTGTTTTCTTGAGGAATTTCGGGAAATATGTCGTTCTAAAAACTACTATAATTCTTTAGACACATCAATTGACAAAGGCATTTTTTTTTATTTTTCCAGTGAGCCTGTCAATTGTAAGTAAAAAAAAAACAACACGCGGCGGGGTTTCCCTCATATGGTGACCAATCTAGGGTTGAGTACCAAATATTTTCACAAATGAATCTGAAAGGAAAATGTTGAGAGAAATTTACGAGAAAATATTTTTGGAAGGAAATTTCACATTCACAAAAAAGTTCTAGAGTTTTTTTCATTTTGTAAATCTACTAGTTTCAAATATTTGCGCGATTAAAGAAGTGTCAGTCGATAAATCAAAAATATTTCTAAAAAAGAGGTTTGCGCGAATTCACTTGAGGAAAGTGTAAAATTACTGGGTTATTTCCACTGGAAATTAATGAATTCACTTGAATTCTATGTGAATTTTGAAATTTCATGAGCTTTGATTCCCTAAACGGAAATCAATGTCACTCTTCTGCAAAGTAGTGAAAAATAGTGAAATAGTGTCCATGAAATTTCAATTTTTTTTCAATATCTCACCAAATTTTTGTCACTTTTTTCGGAAATTATGTCAGGTGACAGTTCCGCTGAAATTTCAAGAAACTTTATCATTGAATATACACAAATTGACGGAAAAACAGTCGAGTCTGTGACTTTCAGTTCTATTATTTCATGAAATTCAGTCATGATAAATCAATTCTTGGATTTTCAAATAATCAGAAATTCCAATCAGTTGGGACATTCTCGTCTTCCTGCTGCTTAAAAATTTGGAATTCCATTGAATTTTCAGTGAAATTCGAGATTCGACAATTCTCCCTAATTTTTCTCCCTAAATGGAATTCAATGCTGCTTCTATCGTTTCTCCAACCATTTCCATTAAACATTAAAAAAATGAAAAATGAAATAGATTTTTTTAAATTCAATGTCGCACTGCTGAAAATTCCCAGCAAACAGTCAATTTCAATTTATTCTAATAGCATAAACTTTAACGTTAAAATAGTATCACTCACGTTGGTACTGAGGTGAGATACAGCATGAGCCGCTGATAATCCAGATCCGTTAAATTATGAAAATTCCCATTATCAGGAAAGGTAATAATGGGGCATCCCTCCCTTGTTTTGCCACCTGTACAACAAGAAACCACACTTGAATGGAAATGAAAAACTCACATCACTGGCAACATTCGCATTAACCACCGACAATACACGTGTGAGGAAGCGAGATAATCACAGTATGTATTTTTCCCACAACAACAAAAACATGACATCCTACGACTGGTGTTAACGACCAGTTAAAGAGTCCATAGCCCTTCAGACATACAACTGTGACCGTCTGACTTTAACGACGATAAAATATCCCACTCCTGAAAGCCGGTGGCCCGTGAGAATACCGATCATTGGCGAATTTTTAAAACTGGATTAAAAGTCTTTGGGGGGACAACCGGTTTGTAACGGATCCACCGTTGAACTCTGGCTGATTGGGAAAATATCGTGTGCCATTGGAGACATTTGACAATTTTCGTTTTCAGGTCATGCGGGAAGTGGCAATTAATTGTTTAAGCATTGAGTTTCATTACCAGTAATGATTGCGTACTGGGGCTGCAGGAGATCCGCGACGTCGCGAACGGCCAGATCACCATTCTCAATCTCCCCTGTCATACTCTCCACATCCTCTGTAATTAGAATATCCCACCCAATTAATCATCATTGCTGTTATGAATTGAAATTACGAGATGAAATTAAATATTACGTTGAAATTTACTTTCTTGATCATGCAATTAATTAAGGAACGAGCCATTTTTTAAAGTAGCAAGGGATCTTCTGGTTGCACAAAATATCTGATATTTCTCCTTCAATACCTAATTAATTAATAAAGTACAATAGACAGAGTTTGACGTTGTTGTTCTGTTATTAATTCTTTCGATATTGAGGAATTTTAGGAAAACATGCCTAAAGAGCTTTTCGTTGCTGAAAAAATTCTCTACAAGAGGTTTTTCAGCACTTTGCTCGAAATATTGAAAGTAATTGTTATTTAACTAGGGGAGAGTGGGGCAAAATGAAACAGCCGAACAGCAGCTATTTGACGCAATTCAAACAAAAAAAACTTTTTATCAACTTTTGTTTATTAACTCTTTTTATTATTAGGAATACTGATGAGAATAATAGATTCCTATTCGTCTTAATTCAATGGATTATTGTTCAATTGATTAGATTAGGCCGACTGCACTTTTCTTTTGTCATTCGATTAAAATTCAGCATCATATTTTCCTTTTTCCCCCTGTGGGTTTCCTCCTGGGCCTTGTTTTGCACTTTGGATTTTGCTGTTTCATGTTCTTTTCAATTAATGGAAAATTATTATTCTCGTCAGTACTCCCAAGAAAAAAAAAGTTAATCGGCAAAAGTTCATAAAAAAAATTTAATGCAACAAATTCGTTTTCGACAGTTTCATTTTGCCTCACTCTCCCCTAATCCAACAATTAACGAGATATAGCGCGAGTGATAAAAGTTTCTGTTGAATTCAAAATTATTTCGGTAAAGACTAATTTTAAGAGAGCAATGGCCCGGGGATCCTTTTTCAGAGGCGATTGGAAATAAAGCTTGTTACATTTTGCTCTCAATCCCCACATTATTTAGATAATTCCATAGTCGACGAGTTGGTGAAACAAAAAAGGTAATGCGTAATTTTTGTGATTATGCTGAGTGGTTTTTGAAGCAAACATTGGGAGCACATTCTCTTATCAAATTAAATTATTAATTAATCTACTCTATAAAAAGGCTCTTCAACATAGAATGATGAACAAGGTGAAAAATGAAGGATAAAACACTCTGCGTAGAATATAAAATTATAAAAAATTCGGAATTATCTCAACACTGTCTGATTTTAGAAGAAAACATCAAAGGACTTTTCTCTACCTGCTAAAATTTTTCGCAAAAGAATCCCTTTGTCATTACCCAGACAACTCCAATTTTATGAAGATGAGATAACCGAACTCATTAACTTTCACCACTCAGCAACAAAATAATAAAAACCTCCACATTACCCCATTAAATCGAATCCCCTCCACTCTCACCCCACTGAATTACCTTCTGCAGTAATTGGGTCTGTGGTTCCAGTAAAAATTAAATGCAAATTGAAATCCACCTCTTAGAACGAAGGTACAAGTGTGGGAACGAGATATCGATCGAAAGTAATTGTTGCTCTTAAATAACATCAATGTTATCGTCAATGTTCATGAAAAGAACTTTTTACGGTTGGAGCACACGTGTGAGTGGAATCCTCTTCAACTCTGAAGATATACTGGTGAATTGTAAAAGGTCTCAACCCGGTGGGATGCACTCGAGTGACCTTGCTGATTCCTTCACCAACGAGGGAAATAGTTTTCTTCTTTACCCGCAATATAAAATTGCTGATATAACTGTAAATTCAAGAGGCTCTCAATCGAAATGTTGATGATCTCTGGGTCAAGGATCGGTTGAACCGTTGAGTTTGGGTCATTGAGACTGAACGAAAGTGGCAGTTATATTCACATTTTATTCAGGATACAACATCTATAACATTTTATTACATTGTAAATTGAGAGAACGGACATTTAAAAAGTTCAGAGACAAACCTACCGAATTCGACAGAAAATTCTATTGGGTATTTAATTGTTATGGAAAATTCTATTAGTTTTTGGCCGGAAAATACCCAACAGAAACAATTTGATAGACTAAATCAGTAGAATTTCATCTTTCTGTACAACTTTTTCTGTAAGAATTCTTCGACATAAATTTTCAACGTTTTTTTACTCTATTTTTCTTCTCTTTTCATAAAAAAAAACTTTTAACATTTGAGCCGAGGAATTTCTACAGAATATTTTCCTTTGAAGAATTGCACAGCTTTGACGCATTTTACTACAGTAAATATTCAACAGAAGTTATTGTATAGAAGAAAAAATTATTATATAGAAGAATTCCAACTCTCTATATGAGCTTTTCTAGTGAGGCCTTGTCTATACTAATTCCTCGACATGTATTCCCTGAGTGTTTTCCACTCTATTTTCTCCTCTTTTGATTGAAAAAAACTTGGGATATTTGAGCCGACGAATTTCTATAGAAACTATCTCAATAAAATAAGTTATTCTATTGAAAAAACGCATAGATAAGCTGAAAATTTTCAACAGAAACGGCCAAACCCGTAGAAAATTCAACAGAAAAAGCGAAAGAATTATATTCAATGCAATTCAATTCCTATAAAAACGTACTGAAGTGACTACAATTCACTATGTTTTTCTAGGAAATTTTTTCGGACGTGTTGTATGAGAATATATTCTTTTCTCTCATTCTAAATGTTCTCACATATTCTCGCTATTATAATAACGAAAAAACAGTCCATGAAGTGTTTGCGATGTTTGATCAATTGAATTACTTTCTCTAAGTGTTGAGAGAAGCCAAAGAAAGATAAGAAATTTGAATAATCAAAGAAAGGATGAGAAACCCTGGCATTAATTCACTGGTTAAACTGCACGTCTGGTACCCGACAAAATACATATGAGAAATAATGCTGGTCTGAGGTGCCTGACCTTTTCTCATTACGGATAGTTGGAAAGTATGTGTATGTGTAGCTGTACGTGTACCGTTTAATCCCAACTTTTCTTCACTCACTGAATATTCAGACATGTGCCATGTATGGTAATAAAAGTAGCCCCCATAAACGACACTAATGACAATTGTTATGCGCTGATGGATGATTACAGGCCATTTATCACAATTGTTTCATTCTCGCTGTGGCACTTCTCGTCGTATTACTTGCAGACTCATCCCTTAATTTATTGCGATACGTAATGGTAAATTTTAATCAGGAATTTCTGTCTCTGATATGTACAGGTATTCCATTCGCTATGGAGGGGTGACTTATTTTTCTAATTATGAGAACATGTCGAAATTACAACCTCTTAAGAAGACATGTCACCACGGCTTTTTTGTAGTTGAGAAAATTTGATATAAAGAAAGCTTTGTGATGTTTCATTGAAAAACTAAGGGTTCTTCAACAATCACAGTTGATTCATTCAGCTGTGGCAGGGCATGCTGAGACGTTTCCCATTGTTACTTGAAGTCTCACTTCTTAATTTATTACGATACGTAATGGGGAATAGTAAGTTTGAATCAAGGATTTCATTCTGATATTTGTAGGTACCCCATTCGGTATAGAGGGGAGATGCATCTTTATAATTATGAGAACATGTCAAAATTAGAACCTCCTAAGAAAACATGTCACCACGGCTTTTTTGTAGTTGAGAAAATTTGATGTAAAGAAAGCTTTGTGATGTTTCATTGAAAAACTAAGGGTTCTTCAACAATCACAGTTGATTCATTCAGCTGTGGCAGGGCATGCTGAGACGTTTCCCATTGTTACTTGAAGTCTCACTTCTTAATTTATTACGATACGTAATGGGGAATAGTAAGTTTGAATCAAGGATTTCATTCATTTCGTTAGAGAGATGATTTCAGTAGCGAAGTGGTAAAACGGTTGAAGTCAATTTTGACTATTGGCCACTTTTCAATGAATATTTCGGAATGTAAGGGAGATAGAAAACTTTTTGTTATGACCGTTTTGTAGACTCGATTGAGAGTTACAACAAAGGTCGTTACGACAATTTCGTTATTTCTCTTAGATTCGGAAATATTGTTCAAAAACTCAACTGGGAGATAAGTCGACTTAAACCGCTTTACCACTTCGCTACTGATTTGTACTTCTAATTATGGGAATATCTCCAAATTAGCACCACTTGAGAAAAAATGCCAAAAGAGCTTTTTAGTAGGTGAGAAAAATTGATGTCAAAAAGGCCTGTGATGTGTTATTGAGAAACTAATAGTAATTGGAATTGTGACATAAATTGACGCATCACGTGTGGGCTCTCCAATACATCAGTCATTTGATTGGATTAGATGCTTATTAATCATGCAATTATCTTGGAATTCAATTAGTTCGTGAAAAATGTTCATAAGGCTCTCTTGATATTTCACCTCAAACTTGTAAATTATGGAGATCATTGCAATGAATGTTCACTTGTAATGTTTTACAACTTCTATACGTGATTTATTGAAAACGGAAACATATTCATTAATTTATCAAAAGTTCTACAAAAGAAGGTCTTTCGGGATTTCATCAAAAAATTGTTCCCCTTCCAAAATAATTAAAGTTGAATGCGAGTTGCAGATACCTTCATTTAAAACATATTTCTCATCACTTTAATAATAATTAATAAACTCAAGCAAACAAAACAACCGGTTATTCCACATGGCCATTCTCCCTCAAATAGAACCGATACTAGTCACAGTGACCGGCAAGCCTGATCTGTTAACTATTAACCCACTAGTAGTCAACTGATAACTGACTCCCTCCGGCAACTTGCTAACTGGTGTGATAAAATAAGTATTGCTGCTTTGCTCGATACCACCTGACGCAATAACAATAGGTACCATGTCTGGACTCTCAGTGACAAACTGCACAGGTTCACTCCTCTCTTCCACAGCCTCCTCTACTTTTCCCTGATTAGCAGCACCAGGTGTTCTAACGACGAACTCCAACTTGGCGAATTTCACTTGGGGAAACTGAACTTTCATAAATCTCCGAAATGTCGAATAGCCCATGAATTTTATCGATGGCGAGAGCTTCTTGCAGTACTCCTTGTACAAATCGTGAACTGTTTTCCTGGATATCTCAGGGGGAAGATGGAGTGGTGCATTCTTCACAGCTTTTGTCTTCTGCTTGGCTTCCTGTTGTTTCAGAAAATTCTTCAGGAATTCCGTAGCTATTTTATATATGTCGAGGGAGAACGTATTGTGGGGAATTTTTCCGTGATTCCCATGAACTCGAGGGGTGACTCCATGGGTAATTAAGTGTTTTCTTATTCGTTTTATCTGATAGTGAGTTACGTTCTCCAAGTACAGAAATGCATCGAGGCATACACGACGGCCCTGATAAACGTATTGTGCACGAAGTCTACGTCTCTCTGTGTGCCTAGCTGTTTGATGGGGATCGGTGAGACAGGCCATTGTCACTCCCATCAGATACATATCGTGCTCGGCTTTTGTCAACTCGGCGATGTTCAGTCGGTGGCGATAAACAGCCTCTGGATTCAGTCCTTTGAAACACTGGTCGTCTTGGCATTCACAGCCACGTTTGAAACGATGTAGAACTTGGCCAACGCTGTCCTCCAATCTCGTTGGCTCGTATTTTGGCGAACGAAGGAGTCTCGGTTTTTTTGCGGAAGAATTGTGGGGGGTCTCCACGTCTTTCTCTGCTTCGTCTGCGATCTGCAATCGGTTTATGGGCTCTTCTTTTAGTTTGTTTGGCGTGCGGTGGGTGGAGATGGGACGCATCTCTTTATCGAACTTTTTGTGGTATGTGCAGAGAAGGAAATTTGTTTTTTTTTAATGAAATGATGTTACATGTTCTGTCAGCACATGTACGACAAAAATTAATAAAAACACTTAGCGTTTTCTGTGAGAAATTCGGTTGGAACTATATAAAAATTGTATTGCCAGACTAATTGTTTTCTGCTCCAATTCTAGTCAAAATAATATAGCGTCCCTCCACGTTTTTAAATAGATACTTTTTTTACAAAGAAAAAAAAATGTCTATATATAGATGTTGATTTTTTTATGTAACTTATTCTGTTGGAATTTTTTATATAAAGAATTTCTGGGCATTATTTTTATAAGTGTTTTTGGAGATTCATCAGAAAGAAACAAAAACAGCAGAATAATCAACATCTTTATCAAAATTATATTGACAGACTCGATTTGGTTTCTGCTCCAATTCTATTCAAAATAATGTAGTGTCCCTCCACGTTTTCGAATAAATATTATTTCTTACAGAGAAAAAAAATGTCTAAAGATGTTAATTTTTTCATGTAACTTATTCTGTTGGTATTTTTTATATAAGAGTTCTTGGGCATGTTTTTTATAAGTGTTCTTTTGAGTTTATTATAGAAAAGAAATAAAAACATAGCAGAGAAATCGATTACTCTATAAAAAATCTATTGACAGACTCTATTTGTTTTGTACTCCAATTCTATTGAAAATAATGTAGTGTCCCTCCACGTTTTTAAATAGATATTTTTTCTTACAGAGAAAAAAATGTCTACAAACGTTGATTTTTTAATGTAACTTATTCTGTTGAGATTTTTTACATAAGAATTCTTGGGCATGTTTTTTATAAGTGTTTTTTGGAGTTTATTATCGGAAAGAAATAAAAACCCAGTGGAAAAATCCGAATCTGTTGACTTTTTTCTATCAAATAGCTCTTCATAAAATGATGGGGTAAAGGAAAATGCTTTTTCAATTATTTTTATTCTATATATGTACTAAATTTCTCAGGACACTCCTCTGATGTTTTGAACAAAAAGTTTAATGAGAGTATGTTTCATTTTTATTTCAGTGTATTAATTTTGTAAAGTGTTTGCGGATAAAAATGCGGCGTAATAATTTTTACCTCAAACCTTTCCTCCAAATTGTCCTCTGGATTGTCCTCAATTTCAGATTCAGCCGCTTGAGTCACGGCTTTACTTTTTTTCAATTTTTTAAATTTTTTACCACGCCCTTGTGGTTTTTTCTCCTCCATTAGGATAATTGAATTACTTCACTGTCTGAAACTACCGGAAACATTCATATTAATCGCAGAAAAAATGTCTCTCTCAATGAGAGTCGTTCACCACCGATATCAACAGAGTTTAATGTCCCTCAGTAAAGAATCGCGCACGGAGAATTTCATAGAAAAACTTTGCGAATGTGATAGAAATTTTTTTGGATATCTGCTGAACTTCTAGTAAAAAATCGAATTCTATTGATTTTTTCTGTAGGAATTCCTCGACATGAATTCCCTGAGTGATTCTCAATTTATTTTTCTGCTTTTCTCATTGAAAAAATTAAGCAAATGAGCTTGGAAATTTTGAATCGAAGAATTTCTATCGAAATTATTTGAATAGAATCAATTGTCTAGAAAAATCGAATTCTATTGTTTTTATCTATAAGAATTCCTCGCCATGAATTCTCTGAGTGTTTTTCACTCCATTCATTTCCTTTTTTCATTGAGAAAATAAAAACAAAATCTTGGAAAGTTTTCGCTGAGATATTTCGACAGAAAATATCTCACCAGAATAAATTGTATAAAAAAACATTAAATTAATTGAAAACCATTGGAATATTTAAATAAACCCCTCAAAAAATACCAACTTCACCGGAAATCCAATAAAATTTCCTAGCGAATTCCCCATATTCCTCTACAAAATTTCACCTACGTGATTAAAAACCCCCTCGTGGCATATGTCTACAGAAGGTCGAAAGTCGCTAGAACTCCACTGGCTGACGAACAATTCTCGTCTCTACTGCGTAACAATTGATCCCACTTCACTTACCGTTAATTCCGCTTATTTCCACTGATTTTAAATCAGATAGCAGCGTCAAACCACCACAGAACACTGATCTCAGGGTATTCAATAATTTCCGGGTGATTAAGAGGCTCCAGTTTATTAAATATCAGAAATAACAAAGCGAGACGAGTGAGCGATATGGCGATCGTGAATTCACGCGGTGGAACGTAGTGGGGGAGCCCCAGGGACGTAGCAATATTATTCTCGCGCTCCAAAAAGATCCGATCAATGAGCCCCTCATGTATAGATATTCCAAATTTTTATTTTTTTCCTCATTGAAGTAGTTTTGAAGAAAATTGCGAGCTAATAAAAAACATTTGCTAGTTAGTACTTTTTTTAAAATAAATTTTTGAAAAATCACCCCTGAAAAAAAAGGCGTTATTCCCCCTATTTCATTATTTCCAAAAAATTTT